CATGTCTGCTGCCAAGCTTTCGCAGCTGCGGGTTTTCGTAAACTTTCGGGCCAAACTAGATGTCGGCGAAGCTAACGTACGTGTGTTTGGAAACGTCGGGGAGCGGTCCAGTGGTTGTGCCACCAAATAAATAATAATCGGCATCTGTTTTGGGCGTCTTGCCTCGCAGGCACGGGCAGCGGCTCTCTGTCCCACGCCATTTTGCGCACCATCGCGCCGACGGGCCACCTGCACACGGTGGAGTTCCACCAACAGCGCGCCCAGAAGGCCGAGGAGGAGTTTGCCGAGCACCGCGTGGACCACCTGGTCACCGTCACCAACGCCGACGTCTGCGAAGACGGCTTCGGGGTGACGGGCGTGGCCGACGCCGTCTTCCTGGACATCCCCGCGCCCTGGGAGGCCGTGCGGCACGCCAAGGCCGCCCTCAAAGCGCACGGTGAGCAAACGGGCCGGCGGCATGTTTGGACAAAGGTCGCCTAGCAACCGTCGTCGCGGTTTGAGGTTCCGGACGGGGGTCGGTTGAATGTGTGACAGGATCCCGCTGAGGTCGGTGCGGGTCTGTGGAACAAGGACGCGCTAAGGACGTTAGCATTGACTTCCAGGCCGACACATTTTCATCTGCGCCAAAGGCGGTTGGGTCACACTTACCCTTAGCCCTTTTTTTTTTTTTAAGTTCAGACACAACCGGTGATAAGGCGTTTTACGCTTCTGAAGGGTTGCGTTGTTAAAATATGAATTGTGAAATGTGGATTCCGCTCGCTTCAAACTGCACAGGAAATAAGCTCGTGTTTGGATTTGCAATTTAGTTTGGCAACAAACTTAGCGTAGCGGCTAATTTAATTGCCAGCGAAGCTAGCGTACGCGTCACCGAACTAACTTTTCTGTTCACGGTGAAGAAAACTTGATGCGGGTGTTTTTATGATTTTGTCACCGTCGGACACCATTTTGTGGAGCGAATCGACACACTTTTTGCGAAGCGAAATTAACGTGAGCGTTTTTTTTTTTTTTTTGCGAAAACAAGCGGCGAACGTGCGTCTCTTGAGCGTGAAGATCTGTTTTGTCAGCACGGCCGATGGTTCCCTTTTCTACGAGCGTCGCGTGGGCTCGCGTTGACGACAAATGGATCTTGAACCTCGCAAGCGTTTGGCTTTTCTAAAAACACCCAAAGGAATTCAGTCACGGGAAAAGTCGGAAACGGCCGTCGCCAACGTGCGGATGAGGACAAGCGCCGCGGACCCGAGATGCTCCCCGCTCGGGCTCCCTTTTATGGACGTGCATCTTCGCGTGTGCGCGCTCGAGTCTCGCATGTCCATAGAGGGCCATGCAGCCGGCGTCGCCGTGACCGCCTTCACGTCCTCCTCCAAATTGCAACCACAACCAAAATCCGTTTTGTTTTCCTTCGTCTTCTGATTCAAGTGTGTCCTTTTTTTTTTTTTTTGGTTGTCTTTTTTTCTTTTCCATTTTTCATGAAACTCTCTCGTGTATCCCAAGTTGTCCTCTGGACTGCCTCATTCCTTCCCCTCGCTCGTGAAATCTTGTCGTGCTTTTGGCGAGAGGCCCGAATTCCTTGTTTAGAATAAAGCTGCTCTCCATCAGGTCCTTGACATCCTTAAACAATCATCCACCTCCCCTCCCTGTTTGCTGGCCCCGGTTGCCACGGAGACCATCCTTTTTATGGCCGCCGCCGCCCCCAAGTTGGCTATCTGGACCTCTCCCAGGGAGAGAGGCAACACTGTTAGCCGAAGCGAGCGCCGACGTCGCCGTCTCGCCGCCCCCTGCAGGCCGCTAATGTAGCGGCGGCAAAGAGTTTGCCGTTGACAGTCGGGAGCTGCTGGCGCCATCCGAAATGTCGCGACTGCGTCAGCTGCCACATTGGAGAAGAGAAAAAAAAGAATTCAGCCCGAAAAGTCGACCCAAAATACTGATGAACATTCAAAGCGTTTTCCATAAAAACGGGATGGAAATGCTGATGGCGGTGCGATTCCCACCCCCCAAAAAACAAAATCGGGATGCCCTTGGGTTGCGTGCGCTGACGTTTATTGTGCGTTTCCCCGGCAGGAGGTCGCATGTGCTCCTTCTCGCCGTGCATGGAGCAAGTGCAGAGGACGCGGCAGGCCCTGTTGGCCGCCAACTTTGAGGAGCTCAGCACCTTGGAGGTGGTGCTGAGGGTTCACGAGGTTCGCAGCGTCTCCATGCCGCTGCCCGACTTTGGGCCCGACGCCGAGGCGCCGCCCGACCGCGGCGCCGCCCCCTTGAGGACCACCACGCCGCCCCGCGAGATGCCCGCCCACACCGGCTACCTGACCTTCGCCGCCAAACCCCGAGACCGCCGCCTTTGATCGTTTCAACTTTTGCCGAGGACTTGGCGCTTTCCATCCGGCGACTGTGGCGACTCGCCGTGATTCTCCAAAGAACCTTCGAAAACCACCGCTGAAAAAAAACCCAAAGTTGTTCTCGTTTTACTCACTTTTGCCGTCTTCATCGTATTGCGAACAGGGCGGAGGAACGGCAGAGCAAAGTTCAATCGTTGAATTTTCAATTTTCAAATGTTTTGAGTTTTTGTTTTTTTTAGAATTTGAGTTTTTAAACTTGAGATGAGACTGTCGTGCTTTTTTTGTTGTCGGGATTGTTAATACGAAATGAAAGTTTGTCAAGAGTTGGAATAATCGCACTTTTTTTTTTTTTAACGTCATGGATATTGTTATTAAAAGCAGCACGAAATATCCAAGTGAAAATCCCAAAAAGTGAAATGTTACAAAACACAAAAAAAGCATTGAACATGTTCAAAATTCCCTTGCAACAAGGAAAAAAAAAAAAAAACACTGTCGGCAAACATTTCTTGGCCCCTCGGTGAGACTTAAAATGTGGCCGGTGGCTTGTCCGAAGGCAAAATGTTGCTTCCTCGCCTGTTTGACGTCGTCCTCGCTGGCGGCTTCTTGACGCGGCGGGAAACGCCAGCGCTAATCCTGGACTTAGTCACTAGCGCGGGTTAAATAAAGAAAGCTTTGCCGTGTTTGGGTCACAGACGCAGACGCGCCACTCGGAATCTTTTGTCAGAAAGGAGGCCCGGCAAACGAGCGAGTCAGTGGAAGATGGAAACTCACAGGGGGGGAACAGGCTACTTCCTGATTTCGGTCCGGTCCACTTCCTGGTTTAATCTTTAAAATACGGGCTTCTTTCTATTTTGGGATTGGAAAAGCGTCGATAAAGAGTCTCTCATCAAATCAGCTGAGATTGACTCTCTGGATCCTTTTTGCCTTGCCGGTTTGGCCGAGCTTCTTTCGGTGTGGCCCGGGGGCCAGTTCTGGGCCGCCACATCATTTTAGGTGGCCCGCGAAAGCAAATCAAGCATGTCGGGTTCCGTGATGCTTGCTAAAGTCTGAACCAAAATTTCAAATTGTCACACGTAATCCACAATAGCAGTCATTATTCTTCACTTGTGATTTCAAAACTCCATCTATTTGTTGTGCACCGTGTATGTAATAAGGTGAAAAATGTGTTTGCCGCACACCACGTGAAGACAAGCACTCAAAGGCCACAACGAGAGCTTTCCAGACCTTTCACTCGGTTCTCAATCTCTCCCGCGTGATGACACCATAACAGAAAATGCGCAAAAACGCCACAAAGCGCGTTGGCTTCTCTTCTGCGCAGCTTCCAAATCCTTCAGGATGGGGCCTGCAAATAGGACTTGTGAACTGCTCATCCCGGGGCCTTAAGCGGCTTGTCTCATGGAAGCTCACAAACATCCCGACCTCCAGTCACACTGTCTCTCATACACACACACATACACATGCACGTGCTCGCACACACACAGGACACTTCTTTCGGTACACTTACTAACCTGTCACAGTGCTATTAATAACCTTTTTTGGAGGGGGGGGGGTTCTCTAGGTCTGTATTTACATGGCTATGTCCACGATAAACGAGTCGACTATAATTAGTGGGCGTGCCCTTGAAAATGGTACACTGCGTCACGTGACGACGCTCAGAAGAGTCACTTGACATTTAACTCTTTAATCCCGAGAAACGTTCCTAATAATCTGACTGTCACTTAATACACTGAAGACTCCCCCCACCCCTGGTTTATTTTTAACCCGCGTGAAACAAGCGGGATAAGATAGCATGTGATGATGTCATCAATCCGAGACACAGTTCGACGCAGGCAAAAAGACTGCGTGCTTCCTAAGACTATTCCTCTGTGACTCTTCCCAATTACTGCCGCCGGAGACGCACGGCACGACGAGGAGCGCGTGCTCGTTGTCAATTGTGGTTGTTGTGGTGAGGATGCGTGGATGTTGCGATGTTGAAAACACGACAGTCACGATGTGCTCAGAGCTGGGGCGGTGACGTCACCAGACGTGTCGGAAATACGTGACATAACCGTCGTCAGAGTCATTTATGTCCGCATATCTTGTTTGCTTGGGTGTGCACTGCCCGACGCCACCGCTGATGCTGATTGGTTGCCGGTGACGTCACATGGCGGAAGCATCTCCTTTTCGCTTCCTGATCACTTGTTTCGCCTGAGACGACCTTTGACCGGCATGGAAAAGGTTGAAAGAGTCGACTGTACTCACGCAGGGGGCGGACAACCTCTTCCCATTCATCAGAAAACCGCTTTTAGTTTGTTTCTCTGTTATTTGCCCCCGCTCCCCCCAAAAAAAGAAAGCCATCAACATTTCCCTGATTTGTTTCCCCATGAAAAAGTTCTTGAAAGAGAAAAAGGGTCTCTTTCAAGAATCAATTTCACACAACAATAATTTTACAAAAATGCTGTAATTTTCCCCCCTTTTGTTTGTTCATATTCTCTGTGATTATTTGGTGCAGAAATCATTTGGCAGAAATGAAGGAAGGTGAGATTTGTGCGTTGGGCAGCTGAGAGTGAGTCGTTCCCGCTGATGCCGCAGCCCCTCAGTGGCAGGGGCCGCTGTGCCTTCGCTTCCTTACTTTACTCACTTCTTAAATGGAAATGAAAAAAATATGTCTTTGAGAAAATATTGAGGTTTTTTTTTATCCTTTTTGCATAGTACTTGTGGTGTCCTCGGTACTTGATTTTTCTTTTCAATGTGGGCTTCGCACTTCATCAACTCCGGACAAGCTTCCGTTTGCATCGCACTCGTCGTCAAACTCAATGAATCCGCGCCTGCGCGTGTTGTGCTGGCTTAGTGCCGAGATGCATTCAGCGAGATGATGTCAATTGTGAGCGTACGGTGGAGCGGAAGAAACCGCAAATGTACCGGCGGCCCTCAATCTTTGGCTGTGCCATGCCGACGGCCCTATACAGGGCCGCTAAATAACATCGCGATTGAGGAGTCAGGAACGAGTGAATGATACAGTCATGGGCCAACGCAGTGGACGACATCAAGGAACGAGCTCAAGTCCACTGTCATTTTGCGGCAGACCTCAATGGCTGTCGTTTTGGGAGATGCACAGGCGGGCAAGAGGAGTCCAGGTCAAAGTTGAGAGAGGAGAGATGTTCGTAAACCAAATAAACACGCAGGGAGAGAAAAGCCAAAGTTTTGGAATGCGGAGCGCAGCTGTGTTTTGGCGCTGGGCAAGTTCACGCAAAAGTCGCAACTTGCAAACATTGGAAAGGTTCTCTGGACAAGTGTAGGGTATTAACATCGGGGAAAAAGTTGTTTTGTTAACATTGAATTTTTCACGGTAAGGTATGCCACCTTACCGTGAAAAATTCAAATGTTTGTGAACAGAAATTAAATGTTTGTGAACAGACTTTTCGTTTGTTTGTTTTTAAGATTAGAGAACAGGGAAAAGGTCATTTCTGTACTTGTTCAAGGTGCAGTCTGCGACAATAAGAGGGAAAAAGGTGACATTTGCTTTCATTCCAAACTTTTTTTTTCTCCACATTTCGTTCACGTTGTGACACTTTTTCGTGTTGTTAACAGTGCAAAAACATGCATTAGGGTTGCAATGTTGTTAAAAATCATAAAAATATTTGTGTCCATTTTTTGTTTCTCAGAATGAACCAATCACGTTCAAATTCTTGCCCAATGGGAGTCAGCACTTAAAATTCCGACGATGACGTTTCAAGATTTTATTTTTATGGACTTCATTTTGTCATTCAAGAAAATCTGAATCTTGCCCATGATTGCGGCATTCGGAGGCCGTTTGCAACCATGAACAAATAGTAAAGACTTTTTTATCCTTCCAACGAAGCTTGAAATCCATTTTTTTTTTTTTTTTTGCATAGTTAAGCTTGGCTTTTCAGTGATTTAAAGCTTTCGGCGTCTTTACGGCAGCTTAGCATAATCACCCGGGGAATGGGGTTGGGGGGTATTATGTAAGACCACCAGCCCCCGCCCAACCAGGCCATCCATGTGACATAAGTGCTCATATACAAGCGCACGCACGCGCTTCCATTTTGTTGAATTGTGAGGCGTGTGTCGCCGATGTTACGTCATCATCGGAGCCCGGCCGCGACGCCATCAGAAGGCCCTCCTCACCCAGGCCACTTGGTGCCCCCTGGTGGCCGCCCCCCCCCAATCATCCGCACTTGAATATCAATGACTTGAGAGAAAACGCACGATACACATGAGAAAATACGTACATCAAAAGAAAAGTATATCGTAAAAAAACAACCTGGACACCTTTCTCTTTTTTTATGTAATATTGGCTACTGTAGCGTAGGCACCTATATTCTCTGGCCTTTTTGAAAAAGCGTCTCGTACAATGTGGCCATGAACACGCAAGGCTCGTGTTTGAAAAAGCAACAGCAAAGGACTTTGGGACTGTCTGTGGGGCTTGACGTGTTCGAATTGCGAGCGCCCCCTGGCGCACAAGGCGTCAACTGTTTTTGTCCTGCCGAGGCTCAGCTAAGTAGCCCATAAAATGCCACATCGCAAAGGTGAAAAGTCTTGAAATAAGCCCAAGCACTTTTCCACTGCTACAAAAATGGACTTTTATTTTGGCAGCGGATCCAAACACAAGCTTTCTTCGAAACAGCCTTTCACTTTATTGGACACGTCATGTTTGAAGTATCAAAAAAACAAGTTGCGCGGTCCCATCGTTTGCTTCGACAAAAGTCAAGAAAATATAAAGCGGCACATTCATTTGAAATGAAAAGCACTTGCTTGTACAATTAAGACATAACATCTATAAAGTTGTACTTGACTTGACAAAATGGTCTTAGGTTAGAGCGGCTTTCCGGTTCCCGTGACCACCGGGCCTGCCTGTGAGGTTTCGCTCTCAATTTTGACCAATGCGTGGAAGACGTTTGGTTGAAAGACGAAACCCACGTGACAAACGATTGATGCAACATTTTTGCGGCTCTGATCAATTTTACAGCCACGACACAAAAACCACCAGTCGCATGTCAAGTCAACAAATAGCATCATGAATATGATCAAGGAGTTCGAGAAGAGCAATAAGGCGCCGTTGACCTCTTTATTTGTTTGATCTGGCGAAACAAGATCAATAGATGAATGGCGTCCAGTTTCGATTTTCATCTCAACACACTTAAAGCTCGATTGTTTTGTGCAATAAAAATACTCACCGAAAAATACACGCCGGTGCGACTCGCTTGTGCTCTTTGTGTGTGCGTGTTCGCATAGTACACACATCTGGTGAGATGGTCGGCAAGTTGAAAAGGAATTGCGTCACGCACGCGGTACACACAAAGGTCTCGTCGCATGTGTCAGGTGCACACTCACGTGGTCAAATGCTCAAGCACGCATCCGCTGAGATGGTACACACATCTTGATCCCGCGATACACACGTCTGGTTGCACATCCGGCCGGCCATACGCTAAACGCACATCTGATCGGCTTTTGGAACCAGCTCGAGAAAGCGTGAACACGAAGGCACGGAGATTCTACAAGTGTCTGTTTTGTTGGCTTTTCCCGTCTCTGTCTTGGAAGTCGCAGGACGGAGGCGTGGCTCAGCTGACAACGGCTATGTCCAACTCCACAGGCTCGGTCCTCCGGAGGCCACTTTTTTTTTTTGCGGCCACGTGACGTCACATCCGGCGCGACTCGACCGCCCACGGCAACCGAAATTCACATTAGGCTTGTCCAAATTGGCCACGGTTTTATGCGGTCCGCGGAGGTGAAATGAAACCACGCGCGGCCGAGCCCGTGAATTTGGACGCAGCCAAACCCCCCCAGTGCTTGCTGGCACTTGGGCCCCAATGGAGCGGACAGCGCCACCACAAGGCGGCGCTGTCCGCCCTCTGACTGGAGCTGCCTTCGAAAGAAGTTCCAGCTCGGGGAAGCTGAGCTACCTCCATGCTAGCGCCGCCGCCGTGGAAGCAGGAGTTCAGAACATTCCGAGGGAGATTTCCCCGTTAAAAATGACAATCGACGGCCAAGTTTGACAATACTCGATGGAGGAAAAATTTTGTGAAAAGGCTCCGTTGTGTTTAGTGACGACCATCAGAGAAGTTTCAACGTACTCGCTCAACGACACGCACACAAAGATTTACACAAACACACTTGCGCACGCACGTCTGCATTCACTCGCGCACACACACACGCACATACAAAGGTCTACGTCGTGTACCAAAAAGCAGGATGCCTTTTGTGAATGCGTGTGTTCAGCAGGTAGAGAAGGAAAGCGGCGCACGGCGGGAGGCGGAGTCCACGGCGGAGCTCGTTCAGTACTCCCACTCGTCCGTCTTCATGTCCAAATAGTTGAGAATGTTCTGCGCAAACTTGACGGCCTGCTTGCGGGCCACCTTGGCGCCGTCGTCGCCGCACGGATCCACGGCGTCCAGCGCCAGCAGCTGCTTGGTCAGCAGCTCCTCCAGGACCACGTAGCTCTTGTCGGCCCGCTTGCCGTCGAAGCCCAGCGCCCGGGCCTGCAGCTCCGACAGGCTGGCCAGCACCGCCCACACCTGGCGGTGGGCCGGGTGCTCCTGGGGGCCGGGGCGGCGGCACGCCAGCGCCTCGCGCAGGTCCAGGAAGGTGACCACGGCCTGCACCTCCACCACGGCGCGGCGCCGCGCCTCGCGGATGCAGGGGTTCTTGGCCGTGTCCACCTGGTCCAGGTGGGTCAGCAGGCCCTGCAGTTCGGCTTTGGGCCGGAAGCCCGGCTCGCCCGGCGCGCAGTGGCGCAGCACCGCCTCGCGCAGGTGCCGCACGTGGGCGCGCACCGCCTCGATCTCGCGGATGGAGTCGTTCTGGGCCAGGTCGTACCTGCGCGTGGGCGCAAACGCAACGGTTAGCCGCGGGGGCTCTCGGGCTGCCTTGGACTCATTTGAGTTTTTCTTCTAAATGTAAGATGTCAGCTCACTTGGTTTTACAGAAAAAGTCTACACTTTGAATTGCGGCCACGATGGATTATTTGGTTCTTCTTTGACCAATTTATCAGCTCAGTAAAAAAAAATATATATATCATTCAGAAAAGAACTTGTCACAATAAAATAACAGTCAAAATTTGACTGTTTTATTTGACATACCTGTCGAACTTTACAACACTGAAAAATGTGCCTTTCTTTTTTTTTGGGAGGGGGGGTTGGCAAAGAAGATCGGCCAATTTTGGGGGATGGGGGAATGAATGAATGTTTTGAGCAACTGTGCATTTTGCTCCGTTTTCAAAGCGCTAATGATCCAATGTCATCGCTCGGCCATCCCGTTTGGCGCATTTCGATCGGAGCGCCCGCTCTTGAGTTGAGTGCGGCAGTACCTGCGCGTGTCCTCCCCCTCTCCCTCCAGGTCCAAATGTTTGAGGAGGCCGTTGATCTCCTCCACCACCTGCTTGCGGTAGTTCCTGACGGCGGCGTTCCCCGACACGTCCAGGGCGTCCAGCTCCACCTGCATCTCCATCAGCAGCCGCGACAGGTGAGCGCAACTGTCACGCCCGCTCAAGCCCATCAGCAGCGCCACCAGCTGGCTGCGCGCCACGCTCACCTTGGCCATCACCTAGGTACACCCCCCCAAAAAAATGAGAGCGATGACGAGATCTATTTCGACAGGGGGTAGGGGCTCTCGGGGGAACGCACCCGGGCACGGCTGGCCTACGGCGCAGCGACGCGAGTTGCGCGTCGCTCGCGCGGAAGTCACCTGGTTGATGCAGTGCACAGCGGCGTGCGTTTCTCCCGAAAGCGGCAGCGAGAGCGTCTGCTGCGGCGTGCGGCCCTCCAGGACGTCCTGGACGGCGCAGAGCCTGGTCAGCGCCCGGTAGCGCGCCTTCCGGAGCGGCACCCGGCCCTCCGTCTTCACCTGGGTGAGGCGCAGCACCAGCTGCTGCAGGGCCTCCACCAGCTCGTCGTCGATGTCGGCGGCGCCGCCCTCGCGTTGCGGCGCCACCACGCGGCGATCCACCAGCCGCCGCGCCTCCTCGCTCAGCTCCTCCATGGCCAGGCGGGACGGGTGACGGGCGTTCTCCTCCAGGTAGCGCAGCAGGCCCTCCACCTCCTGCGCCGCCCGCTTGCGCGCCCCCTGCAGCTCGGCCTTGCCCTCCGTGTCGACTCGGTCCACATCCAGCAGGAGGCGCGTCAGCTCGCGCTCCAGACGCTTGTAGTCCCGGTCGTCGGGCAGGCCGCTGAAGGTGCACACCTGGGCACAGCGTGCTGACTTGAAGTGATGTTTCTCATGAAAACACACAGAAATAGTCAGCAAAACAAACCCGAGTTACAGCTCCTCACATTCCGAACCAAGAAAGATTCAAAACGCACCCACAAAGACACGCTGCCCGAAAATATTGGCACTCTCGCTTGGTTTCATCCGAATGAAAACAAAACCCCATCTCGTGGCCCGAAGAAATAATTGCCACCGGTGACGACGTGAACCATATTTACACATCGATTCCACACCCTTCCGCGTGAACGCAGCAACGATCGTTACCTTAAGTGAGCCTGAAGTGAAAGGAAACTATCGCGCTGGACGGTGACTTTGATGGCCGCGGCGTATTTTTTGCTTTTATGATGCCTCGGACGTCTGAGGGGTGGTTCAAAATGGTCAAATGTCGCCATCTGCTGGCGATCGCGCATCATTACAATTATACCTGCGCGCTCTTTTGGCTGCGAAGCAACAACAGCGCCTCCTCTGCCCACCTTGAAGAGAAAAAAAACCGTCTTTGGCGAGCACCCTGGTTGATGGCAGTGGGTGTTTTCCTTTTGAGCTGCTGAGTGCACTCGGCAGTCCAAAGTACCGGTGGCCCTGATGACATGGGCTATGGTTTCGTTTTTGATGCTGAGGTATGGCGATACAGTACCGGTACTGTTCTGGTAGCGGTACGTCGCGCAACACTACCTGAGGGCCCAGCGCCGTCACCTCGCGGTGGACTTCGTAGAGCCGCATCATGGCCGGGTGCTGGGGCGCCTGCTCTGTTGCCATTGGCTGCTGCTGCTGCTGCTGGTGCGGCGGCCCTCCGTGCTCCATCCTCTTGCCACCATCAAAGGGCTTCCCGAAGAGACTGCCAAACAATTCCAGATTTGTCAACAACCACTTGAGTCTTCAGAGCCGGATGACCTCTTACTGCCGAAGACAGACCCTCGGGCATTAGTGGGTCAGAATTGTGCATACACACACGCGCGCGCGCGCGGAACCAACGAAGCTAGCCTACATTTTTGTTTTCCCACCACATGACGGGGACGCTGAAGCTTTTCTGCATTCTCTCCTCGTGATTGAATCACATCTCATATTAAAACAAAACACAATTGACACCATTAGAACTGTTGCTTCGAATGAGCTCTATATATGATGATAAAACAAAACGTTGCGACAATAACCACACTTCTATGGATCCTGATTGACCGCCAGAGGTCGACGAGTTACAGTAGCTGTCACATTTTTAAAAACTACAATACAGTACGGTGCATTGTTTCGGACACGTCAGTTGCATTTAAATTTTGAATTTGGGATGGTCCGATCACAAAATTGCTCCTCTTTACGCAAGATAAGTCCACTTTGCGTTCTGCTGTAAATCAAACTCAAGCGTATTTCTCAAGCACTTTAAACCAACCACCGCTGTCGCGAAAGTGCAGGACATGGAGCGAATATCATCTATACAACAAGAAACAAACAATTAGTAACAGAGAGAGTAAAAAGCACAAAATAAGTCAAACTAAAAATCAAGTCTGAGTCATGCTGAGTCAAAAACTGTCACCTTCCGAGATAATGTCCCCAACTGTGATATTTTCTTTTAAATACTACAACACCTCTAATAATGACCCCCTTAAGAGGTTTTATGGATCAGTAATCCCCTTAGAAAATGTTACATAAGAGGGTGACGGTCGGGTCATTTCCAGCACAACATTGGATGGCCCCCTTGCGCACACCACATCTTCCCAATGTGGCATTTGAGAGACCACCCATGGACCTACTTCGTTGGATCCAGACTACGAGAGAACGCCTGCAGGCTTTTGTCTGACATGCTAACGAGGCTAGCAGCAAAGAGGTTGCTTCTTCCTCCCCGCATGCCGGCCGGCCATCATCGCCTTGCCTGCCTGCAGTAAACCTATTCCCGGATTGGCGCATTATGTCATCCCGGCAGAACAAAAAAAAAAGGTGCACATGTGTCAACCTGCACTCACACACCTGCACATCTACCACACACACGCACGCACGCGCGCGCGCACACACACACACTGCCTGTCACGACAGCTCTCACCTCTTCAACACTCCGAACACGTTGGCGCACATGTTTTAACTCGAGTGGCTTCCCATCCGCTGATGTTGAATGAGGGAAAAGGAGAGCGAAAAGATGCAAATATGGATCTGGGGGGGATCGTTCGAAGGGAGCGACGCAGCAGATGTGCTCAGCAACAGCATCAGCACCGCGCAGCTGTGGCCCCGCCTACAAACTGACACCAGCTTGCTTTCAAACGTCACCGGTGGGCATCAAAAGCAAATTGCAGACATGAATCCCCTTCCCAAAAATGAATTTTAACTCAATTTCAATAGCGTGTGTCCGTGGGAGGCTTGTCTTTTTTTTCTCGAGTTGGCGTTCGATCACCTGACTGTGCCCCGCTCAGCTGGTGGAACTTCTGAACGCGACAAACGATGTCAGGGGGTGGGGGGGGACACATTGTTCACGTTCTTCTCACCTGCATAGCCAGCGTACAGCCATGAGAAGTGCGGGGACAAAGAACGCAACTCCTTCCTCGGCTTCTTCCAGCACAGCTAACGAACATTAGCTTCGCCAAGCTAGCTTCTTGCGTCACTTCGCCTTGGCCCCACCCGCGGCGAACGCGGAGTTTTGTGTTCGTCCCTGGAATGTTGGGAGTCTCCCCTATTTATTCCACTTGTTAGACAACTTAGTCTTAACGTAGACGCGCGTCTGTTAGTTGCTTGTCTCCGAGACGGTTACAACGTTTGAATTTGGTGTCGACGTCGGCTTTGTGTGTAGGTTTTGTTTGGCCAACATAAAGCGACGCTTCATTTTTGCACCGTGACGCGCTGAAAAAGGCGCGGGCCAAGAGAAAGGCGGTTTCGATGCTCGTGTCACTATCAGAACCATTGGGGGGAAAAGGTGTGATAAAAGCAATTAAAAACGAAAATACTCCGACACAAATATAGGAACTATGCTCACGGGCGATTACGAAATACTGAAAATTCAGGACGAGAACAGTGGGTGCAACACGCCTGGTTATCAACAGGGCGGACTGGTTAATCATTTGAAGCGCTCCTTCTGTTGATTATCACGTGTTCAGAAGTCAAATGTCTCCCGCAGAAGGACGCCGGTGGTGTAACGAGAGGATTTATTAGACTCGTTTAAATTAAGGCTCGCCGAGTAATTGTTTTCTTTTTTGGTCACCATGTCTGTTCGAGTCGCCGTGGAGTGTTTGACGTGGCGCCGCTGGAGTTGTTTACGTGGACGTCAAAGTGTCATGGCGGCCGCCAGCAGGAGAGAATGCAGCAAGCTAGCAACAAAACAGCAAGATAAATTACCGAAGGTTTGTATTTTTTAAGCCCTTTCGATGAACTCCTGCACTTTGCCACCTCTGAACTGGCACCTCGACTGGCCAAAGATTTCCACTTTTCAAATGAAGGTAGCATGGCAATAATGAAGTGCTGCCTCTACCAGGGAAAATGCAATTCATCCACTGCTCAAACCTATGGCCTGATTGCAACCCCCTTTGTAGTTTTCTCATCAATTCTTCGTATTAAATGTGTCATACACTACCCCCTGGTGGCCAAGACATGCATACCAGAAGGAGCAGCACAATGCCCTTGGATTTATCACAACATAAAAATTAGTGAATTCTTCAGATTCTATTTTAGTCACATTACTACTAGCGCAGTACCGAAGAGTGCTACTTAGTAAAAAAAAAAAAAAAAAAAAAAAAAAACGTTTTTGGGCAGCGTGACAGGGGAACGCCCATTGAGCACATTCAGATCTCTGTAAATTCTTCCATTTTGTTTGGTTGACTGAAATGTCAACTTCGGTTTGGTATTTTGAGTCTCTGCGTGTCTCGTTGCGCTCAGAGGTCCACGTTCCCACCGGCACCGAGCGCAACACACGACTGGATCGGCCCGCCCAACCCCCTCTCCAACATGCGACCCATCGTCTACCGTGTGCCCCCGAACGAGTCGGTGCTGGAGAGACGCCTAAGGAACATGCGGCAGGAAACCGAGGACTGGAACCACCAATTCTGGAGCCAACAGAACCTCACCTTTGGCAAGGTGCTCTGACATTAGTTCAATTAACGAATCCCCTAAAATATGGATTTTGTTTGCCTAATAGCGTAGTTGCCTCAGTCATATTGCGGCGCTTTTGAAAAACACGGAACAAATACATTTTTGCCAAACGCATTGGTAATTTTTGAATTGGGAACTGTAAGTTAAATCAAATTCAGAAATGATCAACATGTTTGCAGCTTTTTTTTTTTTTTTTTTGCTGGATGTTGTGCACCAAACAAGTAACGGAATCATAATTCGTAATCATAAACGTTTGTGCATTTTCTGACCTGCCAATTAGAATTGTTGACCTGTTGTTGTTGTTGTTTTTTTTAAATAAGGCAGTTAATTGGTACTTTATTTCATTAAGTGGCTTTTGTATTTTCTAGTCTTGTCACCAAACCAAAATGAACTTCATCCATCTCCCGACCCCTCCTTCCATTTAGATGACACACGCACAGTATAGAGGGCAGCAATGCCTGAAGAATTTCAAGATTACAACTAATGCTCGATTTTGACTCAATCTATTTTGTTGATTGGCATAACTCTCTTGTTGTCTGTGCGGAATATTTTCTGGCAGCTTTACGTGAGTCCCCCGCTAAAAAAAGAAAAAAAAACAAACAAAAAAACAACTCCCCTTTGTGTTTTGTGCAGGAAAAAGACGCCTTCATTGTGTCGCAGCTGAAAGCAAACGGCTTGACCGAGCGAGACCAACAAGGTTGTTCCAGTCTTCAGCCGACAATAACATTAAAAGCAAAAAAACAAAACCGCCAATCGATGACATTCAAGTACTCAACACAACAGCGAGTACCGACAGGCCCTTTTGCACTGTATCCCATGTTCGTCATTGTTTTTCATGTTTCTTGTGCAGAGCGTGCCTGTTAAGTGATGTCTCGTTGCACGAATGTGTAATGACAATAAAGTATTCATTCAGTCATTCATTCAACGTTGTGGAGTGACCACATCTGCCTGCTTGAACAGAAATGTTGCAGAGCGTCCGTTGTCGGAGCTTGTGATGTGTGGGCACGCTGCAAGGTGCTGTGGATCATTCTGGTTTATGTTCCGCTACGTTATGGCCTGTTTTCTTTGCAGCTTTGTGCACCTTTATGCTTATCTTGCAGTCGATTTCCCACCGATTTTCCCACTTTTACAGACCAAAAGGAGAATTGTCGTGATAAGTGCAAATCCTTTGAGTTTTTTTGTTTTCTTTTTAATGTTCCAGTCGACGGTGTCTGGTATTGGGTCGCTTTTTTTTTTTCTAACAGATGCTAACATGCGGTCACCCCACAATGTTGTGTGTCCATGTCTCCCTCACCGTTCTCCTATAAATGATACTGGCTGCTTAATTGGCCAGACAATTTATTTGGCTGATATTATCTCTGTTGGCAAAACATCTGCCTTTTTCTTTTTTGGTTGGATTTTTGATGATTGATTTATTTTGTTTTTGTGCCAATTTTTCTCTCTATTGTAAAATTCAACAAAGTAGGGGAAAGTATAGTAAGACAGTCAAATGTTCCGTCTCTAATTCAGATCTGTATTGTTGTTAGTGTTCAATAGCTTTTAAATCAATCGACTGGTAATCGGTTAATAGAATTTTACTGGATATCGGTATCGGACTTGGTCTCAAAAAATTCTGACCGTCAAGTATTTTGTGGGTATGAAACAGTCATGTAAATTGGAACAACTTCAAAATACAATTGACTGAGATTGATGGCAACAATGTTAATTGGCGTAACAAAGTAGGCAAGTTGTTTGCCTCGAAAAAATTTGCAGAGTTGTTTTTACTTCTATTTTGAAGTTTGGGGACAATACAAGGAACATTTACTTCTGTAATAGCAAAAGCTCAAATATTTAGTTGATTTTGTGCAACTCCAAATTTTATCAGTTTGTTGCCTTGACATTTTTGGTCCGCCCAAAATGTATTTATTTTATTTTATTTTGTAAACAATGCCATCACTTTGCCTTGAATTAAAGTCCACTGTTTACAGGCCGCCGCCGCACTCTGACCAGTGAGGAAATGTCCGTCTTCTACAAGGACTTCTTGGACAAAAACCGACAGCGCCATATCAATTACAACAAGTCTGTTGTCTCACACACGCACGCATGCAGGCACAGGCACGCACGCCCACACGAATGCAGTCATTGGAATCATGGCGACGGTTTTGCGTGTACTTGCAGGGAGTGGTACCGGCGCAACTTGTCAATCACCTTCCTCATGGCCCGCGTTGCATTGCACAACCTGTGGAAGAGGGTCGGTCGGACTAAACGCCGCAATACACCCGCAACTTGATCACATACGCCTGTCAATCATCTGCTGGAAAGTCACTTGATTAGGTATAAATGCCAACGGACATCGTGTGCACTGACTGGGAATCACACTCAGCATACTGAAACGTGATTGCTTCCAAATAAAGCAAAGTCCAAAAAAACAGGCCGGTGAATGTGTTTGAAATGATGACGTTTAGAATCTTAACATTCATTATTTCTATGAAATGATTATTGGTAGCTGACAGGGATGTCGGACCAGGGTTATTATAATAGTTTTGAGTTTTTCAACATAGTTTTTATTTCGTTTTGAATTTTTTTTTTTTTTAAGTTTCAATGACTTTTTAGAGCGGCTTTGTTCGTTTTTATGACAGTATTAGTTGAATTTTTTTTAGTTTAAGTTTTTGTGTTGCGGTCCCCCAGAGATAGCCTTGGCCACCCCATATCCCCCCCCCCCCCCCCACAAAGGATACAAGTCAAGCTCCGCCACTGCCGATGTGTACGGGAGCGCGCTTTCGCTGTGCGGCGACAACCCGGGTGCGCGCAAAACGCCCCCCCCCCTTTTTTTTTTTTCATCTGGCCGGGTGACGTAATTGCCCGGGAGCCGTGGGAGGAGGCGCCATTTCACGCCCCTAACCAGCCGAGAGCGACCGGCAGGCAGTCACCTGGAAGGCGAACAGTCCGTCGCTTCATCCGCAGTGGGCGTCGCATCACCCGGCCCGTCGCATTTCTCTTGCCCGCTTCGAGTCATGGAAGTGCCGGGAGAGCAGGCCTCTCCTGTCACGAGCGGCTCCGTGTAAAGCCTGGAGTTTTGACAGCTAACGCTAGCTAGTATGTGAGCTAGCCTCTCCGACGTCTGTCGGCTATACGGATCCCATCCCTGCCCCGGGGTTGGGGTGGGACACTTTTTGATTGTTTGTTTGTTTAATTGTGGTTGGGAATTCACCTTCCGGTTCCACCACCGACTCATCGCACTTCCTTCCAATTATTTTGGTCGAAAGCAAGGCGAAGGAAGACACAATTTGGCTGCGTTGGCGACGGCTGTCCAAGTGAACGGTAAGGCGCGCTCGGTCTAATTCCCGCAACAATGAGGTCAGTAAACTCATTGTGATGTTTTATTTATGAGTCACTTGCGTGTATTAAATCTATTTTTCTGTAATATCAAAATCCCCTCGTAAACTGACGGTGTTTACCTTTGATTGCAGGACTTGGTCGGGTGAAAGTGGAACGCCTGTGTGTGTGTTTGTGCGTGTTTGTGTGTGTGTGTGTGTGTGTTTCCTGTGAGTCACGATCATTCTATTCAGGTGAACTGGTTCTTCAGGTTCCACCCTGTGTGTGTGTGTGAGAGATGAGGCCAGAAAAGCAGCCTCTAGGTCGGCCAGAGGCACGCTGCGGCGTCGGGGCGCAGGGTTGCCAGTGATTGCCATTCCACGCGGGTGCGGGTTCCTGAAAGGTTCTTGTGTCAGGACACAGTGCACGCCAGTGTGGAATCTACAGCTGGGAGGATGGGGAAGGGGGTGGAGGGGGGTCTACCACCCGTTACACACCTCCCACTCGGATCATCTTGTTGTCTGTGGGCTTTTTCTGGTGGCCAATATTTTTACCCATCATCGTCCCGCTAGCTGCTAGTTGGTCTCGTTTCTGCTAATTCCTAAACTGTCTGCACTCAGCGGACGCAAGTGTGGTTCTCGAAAACACTCTTTCCACACGTCCTGTTTTTTTCTCAAATGTGGAAGTGAAAACTGGGGTTAGATTGTTTCAGAAGTACGGACTGTTCAGAACACGAGATTTCACGCTCCAGTTTTGAAATGAATGGGACATTATTTACTCATCTGGGGCAGATGGCGTAGGGCATCGTATGAAGCCGGCGGGATTTTTTTTGGAGAGCCTCACATTTAAACAGTCAAGAGACACAATACCTGCAGGTGTGTGTTTGTGGTTTTTTGTTGTTGTTGTAATACTGCACAGATATGGCTGCAAGTTTGAAACTAACAATGCTCATCGATTCGTCTGTCAATTTTTGTAGAGGAATTGGTTGAAAAACCCCACAACGCCGAGGCGTGGTGAGGCTCTGGGTCTGGATCTTGGTTTGTGGGCGTTTCCTCTGGCTACGCCGGCGTCCCGCCGCTTCCTAAAAGGGGAATATGTCTGTTGGCTTGATTGAAGACTCCTCATGGTCCATCGCTTGCCAAGGGCAAGCTGTGCCCTGCGGTCGGCTGACAGCCTGTCCGGGGCGTGCGGCCGATCGTCGCCTCGAGCCGGCTGGGACAGGCTCGCTCCCCGATTCCATCCGCACATCCTTTTCACCTGCTTCCAAAGGGCTGAGAGCGCGTCCATCTGGCTGCGTACAGGGCGTGACATCTGTTGACGGGGTCAGATGCAACATCCGGTGATGTCGGGTTCCAGCGGCTCGCGGGCAGTTCCGTCTCATTTTGTCCACTTGAGTCCGGTTCTTGCCGGTTGAAATAAGTTGCATCTGGTTGTGACCGGTTCTCCTCGGGAAAATCCGGTTACATCGGGTTGTATGCAGGTGACACCTGGCTACTGAACATACGCCGTCTCGTTATTTTTTGTTTTTGAGCAGCTGCATTTGGTCTGAGCTCAGTCAAACCGCTTGAATGTGGCTAACATCTGGTTGTGGGCAGATGCGTTTGGTTCCAAGTATGGTAGTTGTCATCCAGTTACTTTTGGTTCTCATTTTGGTCAGTTTCACTTGGTTCTCGATGGCCCAATGCAGTCGGCTCCGATTGCAGTTGAATCGGCTCTTCTAATTTATACCCTTACAGCTATTCGTAGGCACACATCAAAGGCATTCTATCGCGTTTTTATTTATGAATTTTTTTGCATTGGTTAGGCTTCAAGTCACCATTGAAATGGTTTGCTTTTTGGGGGGGGGGGCATCTATTGCCGGGACTAGGCGCGGCTTAAATGCATCGAAGAACAAAAGCAAAAGTGTTGCATTCAAGCAGGAAACTGCGGCGAGACTTTCTCTGCATTTTGAGTGAATCCCAGCTGTGATCATCAAGGAGACTCGGCCCACGCGAGCTGACTAAGCCCCCCCCACCGCCCCCTCCTCGCGCTCACACTTCCTCGGCCCTACGCCGATGGAACTGGAAATTCGCGCCTTTCCCGCGGCGCTCCGCTTCAAAGCGGTTGTTTAGGTTTCAAAGCGGCAGCGTTCCCGCGTGATGCCCCCGCGGGGCTTTGATTTCGAACGGAAGACGACGGTAGAACGTGTTTGCAGTCAGATGCCGCCGCACCCGCGGCGTTTAAACTCGCTGCCTCAGAGACGTTACGTGTCACCGCTTGAAAATGGAGCCCCCCAAAATATCCCGTTTCCCCTTCATATTAATCGCACTCGCCCCATCCGGCAAATCAGCGCCAGTCTTTTTGATGTTCCATCTCCCGTGACGGACGTTTTTTTTTTTCTTTAGCTGATGGAATACAGTTGCGTCTGATTGACGCCGCTTTTAACTGATTGAATTCGGTTCTTGGGGGTTCCGTCTGCTTTCATGTCGCGCTTGCTTTTGTCTCGTCACATTTGCCATCAAAGTTTGGAACCGCTTCCGTCTCGGTTGATTTATTTTTATTGCGTCGCGGCCTGCAGACGTTTTCTGCGGCAGCTCACTCGTGATCCTTCTTTTTAGAGAGTGAGTAAGGAATCGGTCCGAAGCGACGATGGGGCGGAACAACGCACACGGGTGACATCTAGTTATGTAGCCGGCTACGGCTAGTCGAATGCACTTGCTTTCTGTTGACGTTTGGCGATGGTGAGGAGTTCCGGCTTCTTTTTGTGTCTTTCCACCCGCTTGACTCCGCTTACATCCGATGATGTGAAGCAAACGCGCATCTGGGCAGATCTTGGGAGGTTCCGCTTGGCTCTGCTGCTTTTCCAGCCTCCTTTTTGAGCCGTTTCATCTTGTTGGAACTGGTTTTGATCGACATCTTAATTCATGGCTGCTTTTATCCGGTCACGTGTGGTCGTGTCCCGTTTGGTGCAGCAGCATCTGGTTACATCTGGATATCGTTGATTGTCTCCAGTTGGTTCGGTTTCATTTGGTCGTCTCCTGTCTTCGTTGATTAAATCGGCCTGAACGGATGTTCCTGAGCCCGCAGAGCCAAATGAGCCATCGTTCGGAAATGAGCTTTTGTCCTCCTCAAAAAGAGAACGCTCTCGGCGTTCCGATCATTGAAACATCAATTCAAGTTTGACTCGATGAGCAAGCTACAAGTTTGCGATCGCACCGTGTCTCGGCACCAAGGCGCTGACGTTCGGAAGAAGCATTTCTTCTTTGCAACGCGATCGAGTCCCTTTCTGCGCGACCTCCGCAGTACGCAAGGCTCCCCGGGGTCGGCAGAAAATTTGCTCTTTCATCGCATCGCGTTTTAAAAGCAGCCAAAGAACGCGCCGAGCCGCTTGCTCACTCACCTCGTCGGTCTTTCGCCCTCATCCGGCGGAGCAAGTTGAAAAAGTCAACATCGGCAGGTTCTGCGTTCGAGCGCGAGGAAGCGTTCCGATCCGGCCAAGTCATCGTCCGATCTGCCGGTCGCTCGCCGCTTTCATCGCCGTCTGATGTCCCTTGAGGTGTCGCGATGACATCGTCGCTCACATCACGCCCTCTTCTCTGATTGTCGCCGACAGGATGCGTGAGGACATGTCCGCCGTGATGTGCGTGAAGGCGGAGGAGGAGCCCGGCGAGAAGCTGTCCCAGGATGAGATCATCTCGCGCACCAAGCAGGTGATCCAGGGCCTGGACGCCCTGAAGCAGGAGCACCACGCCATCCTGGACGGCCTGCTGGGCACGCTGCGCTGCCTCAAGCAGGATGAGGAAGGCGTGCTGGTGGAGGAGAAGTCGCACATGATCCGCAAGTCGCTGGAGATGCTGGAGCTGGGACTGAGCGAGGCCCAGGTGATGATGGCGCTCTCCGCCCACCTGAGCTCGGTGGAGTCGGAGAAGCAGAAGCTGCGGGCTCAGGTGCGGCGCCTGTGCCAGGAGAACCAGTGGCTGCGCGACGAACTGGCCGGCACCCAGCAGAAGCTGCAGAAGAGCGAGCAGAGCGTGGCGCAGCTGGAGGAGGAGAAGAAGCACCTGGAGTTCATGAACCAGCTCAAGAAGTACGACGAGGACCTGTCCCCTTCGGTGAGTCCTCCTCCGGGCTACTCGCTGTCCAGCGCCTGAATGTTGGACCCTGGACGCCCTTCTTTCCGCAAAACAGCAACACCACCGCTGTAGATTTGACAGGATACGAACAAGAGGCGCTTGGTGACTGGCCACGTTCAACGACAGGGCGAAGAATTTGCGACTAACTATCCAAAATTGAAGTTGACAGTTGAAGCGTGTCTTGTTTCATTTCAAATCCATGATGGTGGTGTTTAGAGCCCAAAAGATGACAGTTGTGTCCCAAAATATTGAAGGACCTGATTGTGTTTGCGCTATGACGTTCATCTTGTCCACTTTTTGGTTAACGTCGATTGAAGGTTTCTCTTTTTTTTTTTTTTCTTCTGAGGCAGTGGTCATCTTTTGACGAAGGGCAAAACTCTTACCAAGCTGACAGTTTCGGGTGCGACTTCGGCCTTCGTCGGAGCTGTCACTGCTTCCTTGCGACGTCTTATTTTGAAGATTTCTCGACCCGGTCAGCTGTTTATGAGACGCGGCACGAGGAAGCGGCGACAGCTCCGACGAAGGCTGAAGCGACAGCCGAAATTGTCAGTTCGGTACAAGTTTTTCCAAAAATGACCATTGCATCGAAAAAAAAAAAGAAACCTTAAACCAGATGAATATTTATGAAGTTGGTGGTTTTTGTCGTGCTGTTTGAATGTGTAGCGACGAGAGCCGAAATGATTGGGCGACCAAAAACGTTGACGCAAAACCTCGGCCTCAAAGCTGAGACGCTGATCATCGTGCGATCTGGTCGTAATTACGCCACAGCAGCGACATCATGAAATGTTCCAAAAACGCTTTTTCATCACCGATGACTCCATGACGTACGTGTGGAGGTTTCGATGTCCAAATGGGAGCCGAGCGATTGGGGCGTGAAGAATGGCCAATGTCATTCACTCATTCCCAACGACGGGCTTTGTCGTGAACTGTCTTAAAATGGCTGTGTGTACTTTCCTCTTTAGGAAGAGAAGGACTCGGAGTCAAGCAAGGAGACTCTGGATGATCTCTTCCCGGATGATCATGACGACCAGGCGCAAGGCAGTAAGTCGCCGTTCATGATTACTTTTGGCATCGCCCAATTTGTACAAAGCAAATTGGGCTTTTTGCTTGCTTTTGTTTTTCTATCCGGTGGACCAACGAGGTCACAAAGTGCGTCGGCGAGGCAGCTGGTGGCCGGATGCCAGCCCGGTCGACCGTGTGTGCCGGTTGCATGTTTTGCCGCTACCTCGAGAAAACCCACGAATGGTCTTGGCTTTTTTTTCCCCCACATTCCAAAAACCTGCGCGGAGGACTCCCAAAGTGGCTCGGCCGCTCGCTCGCGGTCCAGATCCTATCCCGATTCTCTCATTGTCGACGTTGACTCCCCCGTGATCCGCGGTCTCCGCAGTCCAGCCGGTCCACGGCAGCGCGGCGGCGGCCGCCGCCCAACAAGGCGGCTACGAGATCCCGGCCCGCCTGCGGACGCTCCACAACCTGGTGATCCAGTACGCCTCGCAGGGCCGCTACGAGGTGGCCGTGCCGCTCTGCAAGCAGGCCTTGGAGGACCTGGAGAAGACGTCGGGACACGACCACCCGGACGTGGCCACCATGCTCAACATCCTGGCCCTCGTGTACAGGTTTGCAAAATGGCCGCCGACGCCTGTCGAGGACGTCGTCTCGGTCATGCCCCTGAAATCGCGCAGGGTGGGGGGATGTTTTCGTTCCACGTTTGACATTGCAAAGGGACAGTAACACCCCCCCCCCCCCGGAAAAAAATGAAATCTGTTAAATAAAATAGTCCATTTTATTTTGGGTACAAACAATACATATGAGCCAATTATTGAATAAACGTGTCTCGGTTATCTTAATTCTACATTGATCATTTATTCTAATTCATTTATATCTAATTGAATGTTTGACGTACGAGTAACATGTTTTTTTTTTTGTTTTGTTTTTTTTTTATAAATCAATGAAGCAATTATTTAAAGAGGGAAATACATGATTCGGGGCTGGGATGACCTTTAAATGGCCACGTTTGATTAAAAAAAAAACCTGCGTTTTCTTAGAATTATCATTCATTCTCATGGATTTTATTTTTATGAATGCATTTTAACGAGCCAATTTTTGGAAAGGGTGGGACAAAAACCCAAAACAGAACTCCAAGCTCTCTTAGCGTCGCCCGACCGGTTGCTAGACGACCCTCAGCGAGCTCCTGGAAGCCGGTGAAGCACGGCTGACGATTTACAGTACGGCGTCAGTGTCCCGACTGTCTGCCGCAAACAAAAGAATGACCCAAACCTGCTGAAGAACTCTTTTATCGGGCTTCTTTCCCATTTTTGTCCCCCATCCACAAATCCTCTCCGTCGAATCGTCTGTCCGGCTGGTGGTGAAGTGTGGGAACTGTGGGAAAGCCCCGTCAATCGCGGCGGCGGAAGTTGTCACCGGGCTTGACGGCCGTCGTCATGTTGTGTGCGTCGCAGAGATCAGAACAAGTACAAGGAGGCCGCCAACCTGCTGAATGACGCGCTGGCCATCAGGGAGAAGACGCTGGGCCGGGACCACCCTGCTGTGAGTTGGCAGCGTAACATCCACATGTCGTCATTTGGGCATTTGCGTCGCGGCGCCTGAATGGAAAAGGAGGGGTCCAGGTGGGCCATGCGAGCGGAGCGATCGATCGTGTACCTTAGTCTTGAACGTACTCCTCAGTTGGCCATTGGTCGACGCAGCGAGAGTCCACCATTTTTAAATGCGACTGAGAGGCGCGTTATGCAATCCAAATGAACAGTGGCGCGCTATCCTATACGCGCAGGATGCTGAGCGAAAAAATAAAAAGCGGAATGTGCAAAAAGTGGCGGCGACATATTGAAGCTCGAGATGTTATTTGGAGAGTTCGACTGAGGCAGGCTGGCTCAATTGGCCTTGTTTGCTTGCTCTATCGTCAGCCTGACCTTACCGTACGTTTTTTGTTTGTTTTTTTTTGAAGTCTGTATACAATTAGACGGGTACGCGCTCACTCGCTCGCTTCGGGATCGATAAACATTGATTTTAGCCGGTTCGCCCGTATGACTGTTTTTCTTCTCGGCGGGATTCATTCTTCCTCCAAGCTGCTTTTAGCCTCTTGTCGTGTGTTCTTGAATACCCCGACATGCCATGATGAGAAAGGCGCACACGGTATCTCCATAAAAATAAAAAAAAAAAGAACTAACTGTGTTAACCCCATCAGGTGTGGACCTTCTGCGATGTCCACTTTGTGAGGTCAGCCCATCACCGTTCGCCCTTTTCCCCAAAGTGATTCCACAAATCGATTTCCTCATCAAATCAGCATTTCCCCGCCTCACTCTTTTCCCCAAATACATTTGAGAATCAATCTCTTCACTTGTATCAGTCCAATCCTTCAAGGAGACATATGATGTGCACCCCTCCCACCATTGAAAATGGTGTCTGTCGCATGCTTTGGTCCAAATTGCCCAGGGGGATCAAGAAATGGAGCGCATATGCACACGCTAGCTCTTGTTTTGTCATCTGAAATGAGCTCGCTTCGACAGGGTTCGCTGGTGAGTGAGCTTTTGTTACCACGGCAACCGAGGGTGGCGGGGCCAGGGCGTTGGGATGAGGCGAGCCGCTTCTACCTTCAGAAGTTGAGCCCAGTGTGCGCGGCGTTCGGAGATGCATTTTCACTTGCGGAGGAGGCGCCTTCTGCACTCGGCTTGAAAACGCTTTCACTCATGGAGGCGGCACTTCATACGCAACACTTTGCATACCACATTGGTGACACCAGCACTACACTGTATGCGCTACTCAAACATTTTCACTCAGAAAGGCAGCACTTCATATACTGCACTCGATACACGACATTTTGCTCGCTCACAGACGAAAAAAATTCGAACTCATGACGACCTCGGGGGGCCTCGTGACTCGCCGCCAAAGGGGATCCACCCACAATGCCGCGCTCAGCTGACTTCCCCTTCCGAGCGCAGTCCGGCTTTGCCAATGGGCGGCAGCGCTTGATGGAGCCAAGGTGATTTGAAGCCCGCGTTTGTTCTAAAAGTTCACAAAGATTTGCCTCGCCCCCGCCAGGTCGCCGCCACGCTCAACAACCTGGCGGTGCTGTACGGCAAGAGGGGCAAGTACAAAGAGGCGGAACCGCTGTGCAAGCGAGCGCTGGAGATAAGAGAGAAGGTGAGGCGGCTACGCCCGCGTTTTCATTCCCCTTCCCTGCAGAATGCCTGCGGTGTGTGTGTGAGATCGCTGCAAGGTGTCATACAAGTTGAGGTTGCAGTTTTTGGGTTGTTGTGGAGCAACTGCAAAAGGTTTTGAACCTCCGCCTTTGTTCTCTTTCGAGCTGTTCCTAATATTCGAATGACCTTATGTACTGTGGTGACGTGCGGCCACAATAGTGCAGGTGCATGTCAATATATTGCCATATGGTTAGGTTTGTTTAATTCAGTAAACCTCCTACATATTATCTTCAATATATTGATTGAATTTATTCCATGACCAAATCGTCTGCCCCCTTTGAAATGAATTCAAATGCAATTAATCTGTTCCGGCCTCCCACAAAGAAGGACAAAAAATGAAAAATTGCACTAGATAATATTCTTTATACAAACATACAGTCATGAATGTAAAGAAATGAAGTAGTTGTTGTTCCCCTCCTTCCCTCCCCCCCCCTTTTTTTTTGGCTTGACTTCAATGGACATTGTGCTGCTCCTCATGGTGTGCACTTCTTGGCCACACGGGTATTATACATAAAGTTACTTTGCGGAGTTGGGTGTATTGCTGGGATTTATGGAAAGCAGTGCCCGCCCGTGGCTATGAGGGACTATTGTACATCTCATTGAAAAAAAAGCCCACTTTCAACTGGGTCGATTTGACCCGTGACATAACCGCATTTTCGAAAGTAGGGCAGAAAGGGCAAAGTGAGTGCACACGCGGGGAGCCTTAACTCCTGGTGATCCAACCGGCAGGCGCTTCTGCCTCTGCTGTGTCAATGTTTGCTCACAAGTGTCGTTTTGCGGTCGCGACGCAGGTGCTGGGCAAGGACCACCCGGACGTGGCCAAGCAGCTCAACAACCTGGCCCTGCTGTGCCAGAACCAAGGCAAGTACGAGGAGGTGGAGTACTACTACATGCGGGCGCTGGAGATCTACCAGACCAAACTGGGACCTGATGACCCCAACGTGGCCAAAACCAAAAACAACCTGGTGAGGAGCACATCCCTTTTTTTTGTGTGTGTTTGGGGGTGGGCGGCTGCCATGTCCACGCTGTGACGCTGTGGTAACTTTCCCTCCGCCAGGCCTCCTGTTACCTCAAGCAGGGCAAATTCAAGGAGGCCGAGACGCTCTACAAAGAAATCCTCACACGGGCCCACGAGAGGGAGTTTGGCTCTGTAGACGGTAGGGTGTGCACCTGCCTTGACCGTACGCACACATTTGTGTCCCCGAATGATGTTTTCCGTTTACACTGCAGGTGAGAACAAACCCATTTGGATGCACGCCGAGGAGCGGGAGGAACAAAGCAAGGTGAGGACATTGTTCCAAGCTTTGATTGTATTTTCACCGGTGGAAGCGGCACCTCATTAGTCCCGCCACCACATTATTGAGACCAGCCTGTTACGACGGCGCCATCGCGTCTCAATCGGTGCCCGCACTGCCTCGAATACAGCTTTTATTACTATGACGGCCAGCAAAACGGACAGCACGTATTCTTTATCCTCCGCGAAGAGGAGTAGATTCCTGTCAAAAGATCCAAGCTGATCACAGTGACAGCCGCGACGTTGCAGCGATAACTCAGCATCCGATCTGACTGCCTCCACGTCATCCCGCAGATCGCAACGCCGTCTTTCCGGCTCGATTCGGTTAAGCCGCCTTGATGTTGAAGTTGCTGCGGTCGCCATGGTAACCCGTGTTGTCACGCATCGACTCTGGCAGCTAAGTCGTATAGAAAAGCTGCAGTAAGAAGGGAGCGTCTTGAGTTAGCGGATTAGTCGGCGCGGCCATGAAGGCCGAAAGCGTCGTTATTATCACATGGGCCGCCGTAATCCCGCCGCCGCCGCTTAACGTCCAATTTTGTCGGCGGTTCAGTTCCATCTTTAGCTCCTTCGGAATTTGACATCAACCAAGTTATGTGCAGGGATGAGAGTTGGCATTTTTCTCATATTTCTCTTTTTTTCAATCCAAAAATGCGTATCATGAAAGGCACCGCTGCATTGAAATCGTTTTTTCAGATGTTTTTTCTTTCAGAAAATGAAATCACTTCCTTTTCAAAGTCAAAGGATTTCAATCGGACAACCCAGGTCCGGCCGGCGCTGACCGCTTTGCTTGGGTGTTGTTGTTTTCTCAGGGCAAGCAAAAGGACGGCACGCCTTTCGGAGAGTACGGCGGCTGGTACAAAGCTTGCAAAGTCGACAGGTGCGCAGTCAAGAGCAACCATCGCACGTGTCGAGAAGTGAAGCGCGGAGGTGTTCGCTTTGAGCAAAAGTCACGTATTGTGTGCGCAGCCCCACCGTCACCACCACCCTGAAGAACCTGGGCGCGCTCTACAAGCGGCAGGGCAAGTTCGAGGCGGCCGAGACGCTGGAAGAGGCCGCCATGCGTTCCAGGAAGCAGGTGCCAAACACCGCTGACGTTGTCCACAAGAAAATGACTTGCACCTGATAAATGCTGTTAATTGGGCCTCTCTACAGCTTCCCGTATTTTCACGAGCATATGGAAATAGAATCTGTTTCAGTTACGGCTGCTATTTCTGTATTTACCACATACACAAGATGCTCTGTATGAATGGACGCAGGCCTGGTCAAACGTACACCAGTTTAAAAAAAAAAACACTTGCGCAGGGGCGTCAAACTCATTTTTGTCGCGGGCCACACTTTAGGGACTGTTTCCCTTGGAGGGCCGTTATGACTGAAACCTTACCATAACGATTTATTCAACTATTGTTTAAGTTTCTGTAATGAGGGGTTTGATCACAAGAAAATGCTTACAATATGTCTCTCATTGATTAAATATGAGAATTTTAAATTTTGGTCGAGATTTTAGCAAGCATCATGGAAGTCGACATGTTTGATTTGCTTTTGCGGGCCACATAAAATGATGTGGCGGGCCAGATCTGGCCCCCGGGCCTTGAGTTTGACACCTGTGTGCTAGCGTCTGTTTTAAAAAAGGCGGCGGGAGCAAAACTTAGTTGGGTTGTACTCAGTATTTCACAATGTACTTGCGTTACTTATTTTTTGTTTTTGATCAAAATCCTCATCCACAAATCCATCCAATTTCTCATCTTCCGTATCCGAAATGAAGAGCTGGGCAAGTCCTCCATCAAACGCGCCGGGTTCCCTTGGTGATTGTCGAGAGTCGGTCTCGTCGCCGCGCGGCTCCTCCGAATTGATGCCAGTCTCTTTACGTCCACCTCCAGCCCTTTTGATTGGCTCCGGCTGGAAACTTTTTGTTGCTTTTAAAATCTGGACCAAATCCTTGAAAAGGGAACAATTGTTGCAGTCAGTTTTGCTCACGAGTTGCTCTCAAAATTGCTAAACAGCATTGGCAGCTTCCTCCTTATGTCCACAGAAGGCTTTGCGCCTGCAGGCGGAAGGTGCGCCACGCCACAAATTCGCGTCATGTCGCGCGATTCGCAGCACAATTATTGAAGTAGGCAAATCGCCGTTAGGATTTGATTCTCGAAATCCGTGCTGGTCAAACGTTCCCTCCATGGGACAAAACGTTTTCTTCACAGTTTGCCGTCGAGGACACGCGAAGCCCAAAATAGCGCGCGCGCGCGCGATGCCAATTTCAGATGACGTTGTCGCCCTTTGACTAACACGTGGAATGTATTTGCCACCGAGGGTCTGGACACGGCGCACAAGCAGCGCGTGGCCGACGTGCTGGGCGAGCCCGAGGCCCGCGAGAAGCAGCGCAGCCGCGAGAGCTTGAACTCCGACACGGTCAAGTACGAGAGCGGGCCCGACGGCGGCGAGGAAGTGAGTATGAGCGTGGAGTGGAACGGGGTAAGTGCAGTACACAGCCCTCGCCGTTACTCTCGACACTCAGCGTTGCTACTTGATGCTCACGTTTGTCAGAGGATGTTGTCGATCGAGCGCTAGGGGACCGCGGTACCTTGACTTGCCCCGATTATCCAGTTTGCCGTGTTCGGACCATTTCTGTTTGGTGTTAACGACGCAAAGTTTGGGTTACATTCGTAACTCGTGAACAAAAAACGCAGCGGCAGTCGTCGATGTACTTTCAGCCACTTAGTGAATGGGGCAAAGAGTCAAACACTTGCAAAGAGGCCACAACTCATTGCCAGAAGCTTGAAAGAATTTGGATTGGTGCTTTTTTTTTTTTTTATTCCTCTTAAGGCCCACAGTTTTCTTCTTTGACATTATAAACACCGAACCTACCCAAAAAAAAAGAAATTGTGCTTTTCGGTCCTTTGGGGTGGTTTTCCACCAAAAAACACCGGTTTCTTCCCAAAACTTTTTGGTGAAAAGGAACATGGCAAGCGCAACAGGGCCGGGGGCCCATTCTCCAAACCTGCCCGTCGAAGAACATTTTGGCGGCGGCAGGGAATGATTTCAAAACGGCAAATTGACGCCGTTTCAATTTGGGAACGTGGATTGAAGGAAACGGGAAGTCAAGGTACCGCCGTAGTTCTGTCAAGCAGTACGTTGGCGTTCGGGCCAGCGCGCTCCACCTTGGTGGCGTTTCGGGCATCAGATGTGGAGGTGCATCAAAGCGTGCCCGCCTGAACCGACCTGGACTGCTTGATGGAACCCCGTAGATGCTCCTTGTGCTTCTTAGCAAGCTCATCTGTGCGCGACAGACTCCCCTTCCTGGAACTCGTAGTGACTTTTTGTAGCCTCTTTCAGCACATGATGTCATTCTTTCACTTTTGAGCGTCTTCTCTGTCTCAAATGGCCACTAACTCCTGATTTAAAAAAAAAAAAGCGCCTGCTTTTCCTGTCATCCCTCCTCCTGCTCCTCCGCGCCACTAACGCCATGGAGAGCTGCGTCTGACTTTGCATAGCAACAGTTGTCCCAGCAACCTTCCCCCACCCCCCTCCTGACAACCAATCAGCATCTTTGGCCGTGTCGCTCATTTTAGTCAACAAACGGGGGTCGGAGGGGCGGGGGGTGGCTTTCAAAGTCTCTTGGTCTCCGCCATGTCAACACGGGCTCTGTACTGTACTCCCACTTCATGTTTGATCCGTTTGTGTGTGCGCGCATGCGCCAATGCGTGCCTCTGGCTTTGCTTGACGCGTTAGCAACCAGAAAGCGCAGACCTTGTTGGACTGGCTGGCTGGCTGGCTGCTCCAAATCTTTTCATGTTCAACGCTCCTGTTTGGTCAAAGTAAGCGCAAAAATGCCAAACATAATTGAGTACCCGCCGCTGCTGGCCTCCTTTTGGTTTGCTTCTTCTTTCTCAAATGCAGTTTTTCCATTCGTTGGTATGCGTCGAACGCGGGCGGCCCTTGCGGGTCAAATTGAGCCATGTGAGCGTCAACAGAAAACGAAATCAAGAAGCCGATATAGTTTGGACGAATGAGACAAACTGTTGGCCAAAGCTGCTTCTGCCATTCTTCAAGTCACCATTTGACAAATGTGAGATTTAGGCCTCTCATGTCCAAAACAAGAGAAGTTCCCTTTTCTTCGGGGGCATGCGTATAGTGAAGGAACAGAAAGCGACTTGGCGCAATTGACAAAGGCAGCACAACAGGAGCGTGAAACATGTCGCGGCGCTCGTCGAGCCTTCCGCGTCATCCAACAAACCAAAGAGCAGCATGAAAAAAAAGTTGATGTCCCGAGGCTGGACGCCACCTAACCTTTCTTCTTGGCATCTGCCTGTCTGTCCTCCTCTTCCTCTTCCTCCTCCTCCTCTTCCTCTTGTCGCCTCTCCTCGCCGCCGCTTGGAGCAGCGGGCCTAACCACCTCCAGATGCCTTGTAACGCTTGCAAACGCTCGTCTTCTGCGATGGACGCCTCGAGCTTTGCGGCGACGCCTCGCTCTCTTTCCCGCCCGTCTCATGACTTCTTCTTCTTCTTCTTCGTCGTCGTGGTGGTGGTCTTCTGCCGGGGGCAGGGCCGTTCTCTCGTGTTATAGCGGCAGAGGCCGCGCCATGAAACCTGTGACCGTGTTGTTGTTCTTTGACGTCCTCTTACCCCCTTACGCCCTCTTTTGTGTCGAGATGCACTCTCGAGTCCATGCGGGGAATAAGGCACCGACCCCCCCTTTCTCCCCCCGCTGATGACATCATAGTCACGTGCCCTCAATAGGGGCTGACGGTGCTTTCTCTGAAACCGAGAAATGGGGAATATGGCTCGCTAGCCAACGGTGTCAAAGGTCACCCAAAACAGACCGCTCGCTGGTCACATTTACTTGAGGAAGCAGCATGTGGTTCAGCCTCAACGGGTCGCACACATCGATGAGCGACCGTTAGCGCTCACAATAACACAGAGGGACAATTTAGAGTCAACAATTCAGCTACTGTGCCCACAGTGGAGTGGTGGGCCTAATTTGAGTCATTGGAAAAATTAAATCACTGAGTCGATAAAATGAGGCTCCAAAATCATTCACACTTTCAGCGACATGTCGAACGTATCGAGAACCAGTTTTGCACTTCTCTCATCGTCACTTCCCGCATGTCCAGAGCGCTGTAAAAAAATAGCCCCCCCCCCCTCCAAAAAAAAAACCCCCATCAGCTATCATGCGTGTAAATAGCGTTTTGCGCGTGGCGCCACATTGCGACATCATCCTGACGTTTGCATGCAGACATTCAAGGTGACATTCCTGACTTTGTTGGGATTTTTGGAGGAACTCTCTCGGTCCACCTTCCAATGATTAGGGAACCGCTTCCGATTCCACAGCTGCCCTCGTGCGTCGTCGTCGTCGTTGTTGTTGTTGTTCCTCTGCTCTTATTAATCTTCTCCTGCTTGTGCTCGCCCACTCTGCGTATGTGTGCATCTTTCTTCGCTTCCAATAAAACTTGAACTCATCGCTGACATCAACTCTGTGTGTGACGCTTCTTCTTCCTCCTCTTCTTCTTCTCTCATCACTGTAATTATGTTTTTTTTTTTAATTGCCTTTCAAGCCCTTCAAAGTCCAAAAGAGACACCATGACACATATTTAATCATGGCTTTGATTTGGGGTTGACCGAAAGGGATTTTTGGGGGAGGCTGATTCCCATTCCGAGGTTTGGCAGAATGAACTGCTGATAACCGATTAATCGGCCAATTAATTGAAAAACATCTCGGATGAGAAAAGTCACTGACAGTACTTGCTCCTTTACTATTTCTTGAACATCGCAACAGAGGAAAATTGGAACAATGAGATGTTAGAACGTCATTATCGTTGTCTTGTGTTAAAAAAAAAAAAAAAAAAAGAATTTTAAAAGCGCCGATAGCGGCCTAATAAATTGTCGTATGAATGACTCGGATGTCGCTGACGTTGGGCGGAACGAAAGCCCGACACTTGGTTTGAAATGACTCACCCTGTACTTGGCCACATTTGATGACATCACAAAGGATGTGACAAAAAAAACAAAAAAAAGAAACGAGACCTTGCCGTTCGGGCGTCAGAACGTCGTTCAGCTCTCTCGTCTTGTGGAGCACAAGCAGTCTGTTGCAAAAACGATCCTCTTTTTCAGAGAAACCCCCTCTTACCTATTTTTTTTTTTTTAAACCCAATCCCCTGCTCATTCTAGAGCTATTTTCAGATTTCAGGGGGGATATCCATCTCTCAATCACATTTGTTCTACCCAATCTTCCACTTGTTTGCAAATTGACCTCGCCGATACATCTCCAAAGAATACCGCACGTGTTCCTAACGTTGTGTCTGACGGGCGGCGTGGTCTTCCCTCCTCCCTCATCAGGACGGCTCCGGCGCGCTGAAGCGCAGCGGCTCCTTCAGCAAACTGCGAGCGTCGCTCCGCCGCAGCAGCGAGAAGTTGGTGCGCAAGCTCAAAGGCGGCGGTAGCGGCGGCGGCGAGCCCAAAAACCCCGGGTAACTATCCCTAAAATGTCGCTCATCTGCTCTTCTGAAAGCGGGAGGGACTGACTCGCTGGACCTCCAGGCCTGCCTGCCGGGGGCGCCCACCGCACTAACCCAAAGCTAAAGAGTTGTTGAACAGGAAGTCATGCTTTCATGACGGCGCTTAGAAAAGAAAAGGGGACGAGTATACGGCCGCTGTCGTGTGCCAATCTGCACAAGATCTGCTTTTCGGGTTTTCTTTTGGTTTGGGTTTTTTTTTTTTTCTGTCCACTAATATGGATTGCATCTGGTGGCTTGCTGCGGGCTTTTCATTTGATGTCTTGTTTTATTTTGGAAAGGAATACGCTGTGGTTGCTGCATGGCTCCTTTTGTTCTTTTCATCATATGTATACACACACACGCGCGCACATATGTGTATATATATATAAAATGATTTTTTTAAAATTCTTATTTAAGAATAAACGGCACTTGAATGTGGACCCGCATGTACTCTCTGGTCTGGTTTCACTTCCTGCTTCCTGTCTTGGTGGAAAGTTGATGACATCACGATGACGATGATGATGATGATAATGGTGTCGCTCCCGTTATTATGAGTCTGACTTTTTTTCGGCGAAACAACCCCCCCCCCCCCTGTTAATATCTGGCTTTGATCATGTATCATCATAAAATGGCGACTTTTCATTTGAAAATGTCAACTTGTGACAATTCTGACTTGAAGTATGATTTAGACGAAGTGCAGACTTTCTCATGAAAGCAGGTGGCTTCATAGCAAGCCAAGACTCTTGTGAACTCCAATGACTAGTTTTCAACAGAAATTGGGCTTGTGTCATGAAAACAAACCAAAAAAAATGTTTTTCCAACCCAAAATGATATATTTTTTTCATTTATTCCGACTTTTGTCGCTTTCAAGTGAAATACAAACAAGTTTCGTTTTTTTTCTCTGTCACGACTTCATGCCTTTAGCATTTAAAATGACAGCTTTTTATTTTCCATGTCATTTGAAAGCCTTTCCTGGAACCATTCTAAAATGATTCTTGTAAAATGATGCCTTTTTTGGGGGGTGGGGTGGGGGGGATACTGCCTTTTTCATCATCATCACCACCACCAACATCATCATCATCATCATCATCCCTCTCGATGCGACACAGCACCTGAATGTAGTTGTTGACGTAGTGCGCGTCTTTCACTGCCCCGACACTAACCCGAGTGTGATTAATGGAGACGAGTGTTCTCACCCCTAACCCCCCCCCCCCCCCCCCCCCACACACACACACACACAACCGCATGACGTCACCCCGGCCGGGTGGGAGCGCAGCTTGAAACGAGCCAGCTCACTCGGTGTTCTGAACGTGAGCCGGGAGGCAGCGCCAAGTGAGAATGATGACCAAGTAAGCACGACATTTACTGAGAAATTTGTCGTAGAAGTCGTTGCTGTAAACCGTCTCCGTGTCATTCTGTTGGTTTTCATGGAGAGTTCCGTTTTTTTTTTTTTGCACAAAAGCAACTTTTTGCCATGAAAAATGGACTTTTTCTCGAAAATAGGACTTTTTTTTTATGTTTTTTTTTTCTTCTTCTTCATTTCAACTCTGAATCGTTCTCTTTTTTTCCCCTTCAAAATCATGACTTTCAAGTACAGTTCAAATATTTTGTTCATAAAGTTATGAGTTCATGTACATTCCTGGTGGAAATGCGCCTTCTTTTTGAAATGTAAAACGACAACAACTTTCACTTGGTAGTGTGAACTGCTTTGGTGCGATCCTGACTCAGGACAGTTTTGTTCCTTTGCGTGCTTGACTTGAGCATGTTGCCATTCAACTAACGCGGGATAAGAGGTGATTTTTTTTTTTTGAATGAGCTCATGTTTCACATACCAGTATTATTTCTGTCCACAACTTCGAAAAAAAAAATCGATATATATATTTGTTGGTTGATTGTAAGATGTGCTCGATGTTTGTTTTTTTTTTTAACACAAACCCAACGTGAAAAGTGTCTTTTGACAGGCTGTCACATGGAATAGTGCGCTATGATCAGGCTAATGTTAGCATCTGGACAGCGACATGGAGTTTATTATTTGTCAAACATTTCTCTGTGACATCACTGACATGTTTTTGTTGTAAATCCTAAATGGTTTTTATTTTTGTTTTGGTTTTTTTAATTACGAGTTGTCAACAGTGTTTAAAAGGTGTGCTTTGATGAAGCTAATATTAGCAACTAGCGACGATTGTGACATTTGGTATCAAATGAGTGACCGAGAACGAGAGTGGGCTAACTCTTGTTATCATTTTGAAACTTGTTTCCTCTACGACAGATGAACTCGCAATTCGGCACGTGCTGTTGTTGTTTTTTTTCTCTGTATATCTATTGTTTTTACATTTTGTTTTAGAGGGAGAGCACCCCTGTTTTTCCACACAAAACACAGATTGGAGATCTTTCTGCATTTCGAAAGAATTTTGGGGGGGGTTCCAAAAATAAAACTAAAAATTGGAGTGCGGTTTGCCCACCCAAGTTCTCGGCGATTCAAATCTTCCTCAATTTCCGTTGCCATCGTTGTTTGTCGGCTTTTGACTGACGGTCGACGTGATTTTGATTTTGGACTTGGCAAACTCTTGCTTTGCCTTCCCCGCCACGGGAGAAGCATCTTTCACTCATTCACTGCCGGCACAGTTGCAACGGATCTTTGACATCCGTAGCCGTCGACGGCAGCGAATGAGGTCAAGGACGTTCGTATCCGTTGGAGTAATTGCTGTGTTTTTCGTGTCATTCAGGAACCAAATCATCGTTTGAGGAAAAGTCGTGACCTGAGCGCCAGCCACGCCGACCTGGCGCGTTGACGCCCGCTACCACGGCACGTCGTCACGCGCTGCTTAACTACTAGTAAATATGACATTTTACACTTTGGGTCCAAGCTTGCGGGTGGGCGCAACATGGCTGCTGTAGCCCCTGAGGTCTATTTCCATGTCACTCTCGGACTCTTTACCGTCACACTCGATAACGTACCAGACTAGCGCCACGATTTAAAAAAAAAACAACGAATTGGTAGGACTTTCTTTGCAAATGACGATAGTTGGCCAGCGGGCACATGAAGATGACGGACACATGCTCCTTGTTGTCCTCTCACGCACTGACTTGTTACTTTCCAGGAGAAAGGTGATTTCAAAGAAATACATAACCGGGAACAAAAAAATGCAAGTTACACGTCTTGTCGTTCAACAGGCGGCACAAAAAAAAAAAAATGCAATTACAGCAAAAAGTTTTAGAAGTGAACATTTCACTTAAAAAAAAGCACATGTATCCTCATGAGGAAAAAGGAGTTTGGAAAAATGACAAAAAAATACTTCGGAATATTACCAAATGACACCAAACAAAAAAAGCACATGTATCCTCATGAGTAAAAAGGAGTTTTGAAAAATGACAAAAAATACTTCGGAATATTACCAAATGACACCAAAAAAAATGGAGACTCATTACAATAAAGTTTAGAGGTTACAAGAAAAAAAAAAAGTTGCAATTTTGTGAAAAATATTCCAAGAACCTTAAAGATCATGTTAGGACGAAGAACAAGTTGGAATGTTTGAAGAAAAAAAATGTGTACTCTCAGCAAAAAAAAAAAAAAAACAGTTGAAAAAATTTTTTAATTAATATGAGGTCATCATTTTAGAGAAATGGGGGAAGGAAAAAAGTAATCAATCATGGCAACTCCTTACATCAAACTTTTTTTATGTGGAATTTTACCTAAAAGTAACATTTTACAATTTTCTTTTTAGTTTTCATTTTACAAATGTAATTGCCGTGTGATTATGAGCAACAACAAAAAAAAAGTCGAGCAACTGAACTTGAACTTGTTGGTCTTTGGCGTGCAAATCTTTCGCTTTGACTGGCTCACGTAACGTAACACTTGTTTTGCAGGAATCCTTTTTTTTTGTCGTTCATTGTTCCTGATGATTTTGCTACTTTTGCAGGGCTGTGCAATAAGCTTGATTTTGCTTGTTTGTCTGGTGTTCATGTGTCCGAATGTGGCTGATGGCTGCCATCGGCACCATTTGCTATCGTTTCCCCTCAACGATATATTCGAAAGACGCACCATTTGTGAAGTTCGAGCGACTGTTGATCGGTCTTTTTGTTTTGTTTTGTGACGGAGGCGGTGGGGGGGTCGATGCACTGACAAATAACCAATAGCAGCAGCAGGCGCACTGCGATGATGTCATGAATGTATAGTCACAGGAATTCCATACATGGACATGTTTGAAAGCCCTCACACACTAAACTATAAAATGCGAGCGGCATCGAGTTTGTGCGAAATGTGAGTAACATGATTATGTAGTCATGTTGTTGATGAATAAAAGCGTGGTGTGCTTTGTTGTCCAGTTTTCGTTTGGCTGATTTCATTGATTCCCTCAGCGCAATTTCACAACTCCCGTTTTTTTTTTTTACCAGCGCTGCTCGGAAGGTCGAGTATTTTATTTTGTGTGTTTGAGTGTTTTTCCTTTTGACTGGTAACATCAGTCTTTTGTCAGTCTTGGGAAAATGGGCAATTTCCAACTATTTCAAAAGTATTTTTTGTTAGCAGCCATTACTAATCATGTCTTTCTTCACCATTTTTAAAATCTTTTTAAAAATGTGTCCAAATATTTTAAAATGCAGCATTAAAAGCACGAAAAATCTACTAGAAATGTTTTATCGCTATTACCAATTCTCCTAGTACACTTTTACATGTTTTTACAACCGTTGCAGATGTTAAAAAAAGAACATTTTTGAGTGTGCCTACGAGGGCTAGAAAAGCAAGCGAAGCAAAGGAAATTGCACCCTCCCTCTTTTTAAGCGAATATTATTCCTGTGTAATTGAACTTTTTTTATGACATCATAGTTGTCTAAAAAATGCACTTCCCAAAAGTAATTGAAGAAAAAAAAATCACCGGTACATACTTGTTTTCTCTACAGCTAGCAAACAAGCTTGCTTTGAATGTTCAACGAATCCTTAAAAGTTTGCAAACGTGTCGACTGGGCGCGGCGGGCCCGGAAAAAACCAAAACAGTTCACTGGCAGCGCTTTAAGCCACGTGACCTGATGCGCGTGTCCGCATTGGCTCCGGGGGCCGGGGGCGTGTCCGTAATCACTACCAGTTTTCCACCGAAGACGACGAAGAGGAGATCGACGAAAAATGTCTTCGGTGCCCGACGGCAAGAAGCTGGTCCGCAGCCCAAGCGGCCTACGCATGGTGGCTGAGAACGGAGCCTTCAACAGTCCATTCTCCCTGGACGAACCCAGATGGGTGCCCGACAAAGAAGTGAGCCTAAATTCACGGCTTTAATGTTTTTCTCCTACCCGCGGGCTGCTGTAAAACAAGTTCGCTTGTTGTGGACCACGCGCTTTTGTTGAGGCCTTTCAAAATAAAACGGACACCTTTGCGCTACGTTCGAAGACAGCCTCAAAAGTTTAGTTCTGACAGAAACACATTTGTCACTTTGATTATTTAATCATAGCGTATAATCTTGTATCAGCACAGCCACTGAATTAGTTTTGTGGCAGGTAAACAGGAACTCTTATTTTGAATTGGGTAAAAAGAATCCGGCGTGGGACCTTGCAAAATGCTGTGAATTTGACGGGACTTGTTCGCCATTCGGCTAAGCTAGCAAACTAATATAAAAGCTTTTTTTTGTTGTCGAAATAAAACTTTATGTATTTATTTTTGTGCAAGGGGCCGTCTTAACATCGTGTGTGGTTCCATTGACAGAGACGAGCTTATTTGACGTGACCAAATAAAGCTTTGTTTGTCTTGGCAAAGCTGCCGCAATGTTTGTTCCACACTTCAAAGACAAACACGCTATCAAGTGACAGTCCAGGGAATCATTAACTGAATGTTTTTTTTTTCCTCTTAAGCAATTATGTCAATGCAACTTACAAACGTTTACTGTCCTTCCCCGTCACTTCCCGCATTGAGCTTGTGCGTATGCAATTGCAGACTGTCCTTTGTAGGTCAAAATTGGAACGAAGCGTCGATTTTTCGCCAAAATGTCGCGTAACTCCTATTCATGATGTATTTTATAAAGGAAAACAATTGTGTGGTCATTTTGCTATGAAAACGAGTTGGTTAACACATGTTTGTGAACCAAAAATAGATCACAAGCGCTAGTCGTTTTTCTTTGAAAATTTCATGATCCAAATTTATTTGTAAATCATTTTTTTTCCATAAACAGTTGTGTCTTATATTCAGAAATGTATTTTGTAAACCAACCGTTTGTGAAACCAACAGAGTGCATAAACCAAGGTAAAAGTGTTTCAAAATTATATCAAAATTATAACAACCGAATTGTTGAGGAAAGAAATTGAAGTCTTGTGAGGAGTGCGAATGGGGATGAAACTACTTTACACCTTGGTCAGCATGTTATGTAGCCGTTTCCTGTTCTCCTTCCTCAGTGTCAAAAATGTATGCAGTGCGAAACCAAGTTTGACTTCATCAAGCGCAAGGTCTGTATGATCGATTGATGGATTGTTCAGCCACGTCGGCTAATTTCTTCTTTTCGGCGTGCAGCACCACTGCCGGCGTTGCGGTCGCTGCTTCTGCGACAAGTGCTGCGGCAAGAAGGTGGCGCTGCCCCGCATGAGCTTCGTGGACCCGGTCAGGCAGTGCTCCCAATGTGGCCTGCTCTCGCAAAAGGAGAGCGACTTCTACGACAAGCAGATCAAAGTGCTCGTGGCAGGTGAGTGCGTGCGTAAATAGCTCCGCCCATCCCGTAGGGATGCACAATTTATCTTTTGAATTGGGAGCCAATGACAAATAATATTAAATGCTGATTAAAAAAAAAAAAGTCTAATTTCTTGTGTGTGTGTATGTGTGTGCGTGCATGCACGCAAATGTACAGGAAGTCCCTTCCTGGTCACTCTGGGAACGTCCGACAAGTGTGCAACCATGACCTCCCGCCTCTCCAACAACCACAGGTAACCAACCATTTTTATTCATGACCCCAACAAAGAAATATTCACAAGTTATTCTGCAGCAAAATTGTTTTTGTTTTTTTTTTTGTTATAATGCATTTTTTCAAATGATTGTTAAACCATTCAAACGACCAAACAGTGGAAAAATTGTAGCCCATTGGTTTTTCCATATTCCTCACATTTTTCCTGCAGTTGTAGGACAGTCAGCAAAAAAAAAAAACTTTGTCTTTCCTGTTCCTTGAAACTGTTCGGCAGCTCAAATTTGGAATGACAAATATTTGGGAGGGCATTATTTTCATTTAGTTTTTCACAATCCAAAAATTCCCCACTTTATTTCTTGCATAATTTGTCTCTCTCTTTTTTTTTTTTTTTTAAACATTCACAAATGAATGCCGACATTTGACATGTTGACATTTTTAAAGCCGTTCCAATTTCAAGATTTTCATCCAGCTCATTCATTTACAGAGACTATCGACGAGTTTTCCAATTTACACGTTTCGCCGGTTCCATTTTGAAATTCACTCAACTGTATTAGCACATCTTAAAAATATAGCGGTACGCTCATGCACTTGATAAGAAGGGAAAAAAAGTCTTTGCATCCTGAAATAGAAAGTCGAGAGCTTCCAAGTGTGTGCGGTCCCTGGTGATGTGCACACTGTGGCCACCGGGGGGTGCTGTGAGACCTACAAATGCGCGCTCAGTAATGTTTGTGGCAAAGGGTTAAAACTATTTGGCTGCTAACTTGCTCCGCTTGTCAGGTACTTGTTCCTGGACGGCGAAAACAACTTTGAGGTGGAGTTGTCTCGCATCATCAGCATACAGGTCCTGACAGACGCGACCAATCCCACAGGTGAGCGACGGGATCTCCTTTCACACATCCGCCAGGCGACCGCTCACTTCGACAATTTTATTTGGTGTCCACTCACTTGGACATCATGCAGCGGCGTCATCAATCGGCACTTTGTCACTTCCTGAACAAGAAGAAAACCTTTTATTTGTCTCACAATGGATTACCGTCCATGCAAAAGCCTCATGATGCATTTCTGCTGGTGTGCGCGCGCTCGCGCGCAGGCACATCCCCGCATGTCGTGGGTATGCTCGTCAAGTACAAGCCGTCTGGCTCTCAGGAAGTTGAGCTGCTGCGACTGGACGCCACCTCCAGCGAAGAAGAGAAGAAGGTGGCCGAGTTGTGGCTGCTGGCCATGCACAAGGTCCGCCAACCACATCCAATCGGGGCACCCGCCCGCCCGCTAGCTAGCTCTAACCTTCTTCCTCCTTTCTCGAAAGTGACCAGCATCTCCAGCCACAATTTGGTACTCATCGTATTTACCATCTTTTCTACTTCCGCTTTTGGCCATCTTGGCGTTTGCCATCCAAAGCTCAGCGGGCGGGCGAAGACGTCACTTCCTGGACTGAAAGCCTGTTTTTAACGGGCATTGCCCGATAGCTGTGAATGGGATTGTGGCAAGTGTACTCTTGGATGTGCATCTTTGTACGTCACCAAGGTGTTGGTCTTCCTCACCTTTGTGCTTTGGACCTCAGGGGTCTTAAACGTGCCCCTTGACTTTGCAGCTGGGGAACAGAAAATGAAGTGGAAGGGAGCGATGGATGAAGTCGATGATGTGTTTGAATGTTATAAGTTTGAGGGATTCGGTCGGGTTCGAGTCCAGGATGCTCGGAATGGCGTCGGGACTCTTACGGGCAGGGCTTCGAGGTGGTGCTCCCCCCACCCCCAAAGAAACATTTTTTCATGTCAGTTCTTCATAGACTTGGGCTGTTGGCGCTTGGCGAATATCCATTGTAAAGTCAATATTCTTCAATGTATCAAATAATTGGTTCAGTTTTCTTTTAATGAAGCTAAGAAAAGTGGTTTTATTGTACAAGATTTTATGTGTTTTACGTTGTCATTGTTTTTGTCAGGTCTCTGAATGACCCGCAGGGCCACGTAACCCTTTTCCAAGTCCAAAGTGGCTCCTGAGGACAAACGTTTTTTTTTTTTCGCCCTCCCCTTGTTCAGGGTGTTGCACTTTGGGGCTTGGGAAGGTTCAAGGTTTGCCCCTTGGGGTCCTGCTCCTGCAGTTGCGTCCCGAGAGGCGATCCAGCGGTTCCCTTTTGATGACATCCTGGCCGAGTGTCTTCAGAGAAGATGACAAAACACACACTTAAGACTTCACCGTTCCCTTTGGATCCCATGTTTTTTTTTTTTTTTAAATGAAGGATGTCTCTGAAGAGCACAAATCCAAGCAGATGATGGACAACTCGTAATTTGAGTGACAAAATGTACTGTTCGGTTTGTAACGCCGCTGCTAAAATTTGGGCTGTTGGCGCTTGGCAAATATCCATTGTAAAGTGAATATTGTTCAATGTATCAAATAATTGGTTCAGTTTTCTTTTAATGAAGCTAAGAAAAGTGGTTTTATTGTACAAGATTTTATGTGTTTTACGTTGTCATTGTTTTTGTCAGGTCTCTGAATGACCCGCAGGGCCACGTAACCCTTTTCCAAGTCCAAAGTTGCTCCTGAGGACAAACGTTTGTTTTTTTTTTGCCCTCCCCTTGTTCAGAGTTTTGCACTTTAGGGCTTGGGAACGTTCAAGGTTTGCCCCTTGGGCTCCTGCTCCTGCAGTTGCATCCCGAGAGGCGATCCAGCGGTTCCCTTTTGATGACATCCTGGCCGAGTGTCTTCAGAGAAGATGACAAAACACGCACTTAAGACTTCACCGTTCCCTTTGGATCCCGTGTTTTTTTTTTTTAAATGAAGGATGTCTCTGAAGAGCACAAATCCGAGCAGATTATGGACAACCTCGTAACTTGAGTGACAAAATGTACTGTTCGGTTTGTAACGCCGCTGCTAAAAGTATTTTTCTATGCTCATTGCCTGTAAGTTGAACAGCTTCACTAAACAAGTCGGTGTGAATGTGTGCACGTGAAGGGCGATTGGCATTTGCTCGTTTTGAAAGCCAGCTCCTCATTTCTTCACAGCAATTGGGAATAAAAAGCAGTATTTCCTTCTATGGACTCTTGAACTGTGCAATTACACGTGCACTCTTGAATGCATACGTTGTTTTTGGGGGGAGGGTGAGTCAACCTAAACCAATTTTCTGAATTAAAGATTTTCTGGCTATTTTTTTCAAATTGCAAGTCATGAGCCGGTGTTCATGATGGAAGCAAAAAGTTTAGAATATTCTTCTGGGATCGTGCTCCCAAGACATTTTGTTTGACTGAAATGAAAAAACACTGGGCAATTTATAGATTGGGCACATTCATATGGAAAAACTCTTATCTGCACTTAAGACTTCACCGTTCCCTTTGGATCCCGTGTTTTTTTTTTTTAAATGAAGGATGTCTCTGAAGAGCACAAATCCGAGCAGATTATGGACAACCTCGTAACTTGAGTGACAAAATGTACTGTTCGGTTTGTAACGCCGCTGCTAAAAGTATTTTTCTATGCTCATTGCCTGAAAGTTGAACAGCTTCACTAAACAAGTCGGTGTGAATGTGTGCACGTGAAGGGCGACTGGCATTTACTCATTTTGAAAGCCAACTCCTCATTTCTTCACAGCAATTGGGAATAAAAAGCAGTATTTCCTTCTATGGACTCTTGAACTGTGCAATTACACGTGCACTCTTGAATGCATACGTTGTTTTTGGGGGGAGGGTGAGTCAACCTAAACCAATTTTCTGAATTAAACATTTTCTGGCTATTTTTTTCAAATTGCAAGTCATGAGCCGGTGTTCATGATGGAAGCAAAAAGTTTAGAATATTCTTCTTGGATCGTTCTCCCAGGAAATTTTGTTTGACAAAATGTCTGTTTGGGTTGATTGAAATGAAAATCAAAACACTGGGCAATTTATAGATTGGGCACATTCATATGGAAAAACACTTATCTGGAAACTTAAAAAATATATCTGCTTTCTGTGTGTGAATATTTCGGGATTTTAAAAAAGTGTCATAGTAAAATCTTGGAATTTTCATACATTTTACATTTTGTAATTAAATTTGAGCAGATTATGGACAACCTCGTAACTTGAGTGACAAAATGTACTGTTCGGTTTGTAACGCCGCTGCTAAAAGTATTTTTCTATGCTCATTGCCTGTAAGTTGAACAGCTTCACTAAACAAGTCGGTGTGAATGTGTGCACGTGAAGGGCGATTGGCATTTGCTCGTTTTGAAAGCCAGCTCCTCATTTCTTCACAGCAATTGGGAATAAAAAGCAGTATTTCCTTCTATGGACTCTTGAACTGTGCAATTACACGTGCACTCTTGAATGCATACGTTGTTTTTGGGGGGAGGGTGAGTCAACCTAAACCAATTTTCTGAATTAAACATTTTCTGGCTATTTTTTTCAAATTGCAAGTCATGAGCCGGTGTTCATGATGGAAGCAAAAAGTTTAGAATATTCTTCTTGGATCGTTCTCCCAGGAAATTTTGTTTGACAAAATGTCTGTTTGGGTTGATTGAAATGAAAATCAAAACACTGGGCAATTTATAGATTGGGCACATTCATATGGAAAAAAACTTAGCTGGAAACTTAAAAAATATATCTGCTTTCTGTGTGTGAATATTGAGGGATTTTAAAAAATTGTCAGAGTCAAATCTTGAATTTTCATACATTTTACATTTTGTAATTAAATTTTGCAAATTTCTCCATTGTGAAACAATAAAGGTTTTCTTACCTAATGATGTGTTCGTCGAGGTCGAACAATTTCCAACATTTGGATGTAATTATGCAAAAATGCCGTTTGGAAAATGGATGGCTGGAGCTGTGCTTGTCATGAGGCAAATGTGTACATATTTATGACGCCATTTTATGGATCGCTTTTCTTTGGTTTGTGTCAACCAAAAATAAAATACGGATACATTTCGAAAAAGAACGTGAGCTTTGGGGAAGGCCACCATTTCTGACGTAATGCTGTGTAATTGAAAAGGTGCTTGTGAGACAAATGTGAGGTTCCGGTGCAGTTCAAGCGTAGCTCACGCGGGCACTTTGACACACCAGAATCTCTCAACTAAATGTTCCAAACTCTTTAAAATGTTTTTGTTTGGCGCAGACCATTTAAAGCTTATTTGAATTGACTCGAGCACCCCTCCCCTCTAAACATAGCTGGTATCGCCCCAGCGCGCACGCGCGCACTTGTGCTTGTGTGTACGCGTATGTATTGGAAAAAGTGTGGCTTCTTTTTTTTCCTGACAATTTAACCAAGTTCCTGTTCATTAGTACTTTTATTAAATACAGTACACACTTGGGGAGAAGAAGACAAACGCAACGTGTTTTTTTTAGCGTTGGGGTGGCGGCGGTCACGCGCACGTCACTCCACGCCGGATTTCAGGTACGTAACGTGCACGCGCGGGCACGTGTGCAGTGTGCCCCAGGCACCGGCATCAACTTGAGTCCTGCACGTCACGTTCCGATACCAGATAAAGAGTGTGTTCCGGGGGGTCTTTTTTTCCTCTTTTTTTTTGGCGTGTCGCCGAAGTGACGCGTGGCCTTCAGCTTGCGTCCTGCACGCCACGTTCCGATACCAGATAAAAGAGTGTGTTCGGGGGTCTTTTTTTCTCTTTTTTTTTTTTGGCGTGTCGCCGAAGTGACGCGTGGCCGGAGAAGGAGTAGCGGACGACGGCGGTGCCACGTAGCTAGCCGGCTAAACGAGGTGCCGTCCACAGCTGTCACATTTCTCCACGGTCTTCCAGGTTTGTGCGCCAAACTCCGCTTTAAACTCTGTTTGAATGCCACTTTTAATTCATTCGAAAGTCGCAACGAAATGTCTTTGAATGCGCCGTCATGGGGAAGCCGACGTAACGTTCGTGCTCATGTGACGTCAACACGCAGCGAGGAAACACAAGTTTCAGAGCGTGGTTGAATGAACGATAGCAAAATTAACCTGGTCTTATTTATCGAGGCACAGTAGTTCTCAAAGTTTCGATACAAAGTAGTCCCTAATAAATATCACTATATGTCCCTCTAGCATATGTCACCATAGTGACCAAAATTAACATACAGTGAAGCGTAGTAGTGTTCATCAAGTGCATTTTGTATCATTGTAAACCACTGTTATCGTTCGCTTAAACACTGACACTGTATTAAAATGCAGGTAAATGATTAAATGCAAATGTATAGCAATAAATAAGTTTAATGTAAACAAACTACGCTTAGTTAGTGATATTGTCGCGCCCCACACTTTGAGAATCACTGAATTCTTGGACGTTTGTGTCTATTTCTGTGGGTATCGAAGTTATATTTGGCATGATTTTGATTGAATTCGCAAAATAATTGTCAGCGTGCCACATGATGGGACGAAAGAAATTAATCTGTTCAACCTCACCCAAAAAGTCACCTTTTAGACCCATCGCACAGCAAAAAGTAAGTAACCGTAAACAATAAAATGGGGAAGGGGGGAACAAACTTTAATTTCATGTCACTTCATGTGTATTTTCTGAACGTAAATGACAAGTTTTAATATTTAAGCATTCTTAACTGTCATGGAAGTTGAAAAGCAATGTTTACCACGATACAATGTGAAAGGGGGTGGCGGGGAGGCTTAGTTCTCGTGACTTCTCATATTTGTTCTGTTCACCGCATTTGTTGTGGCTACTCCACAAGTATCACCAGAGGCCAAAGACTGGTTGAGTTGCGCACTCACCTGCCGCTCATGTAAAGGCTACGTGTCTGCTTTTCTTGCAACTTGTGTGGTGCCTTTTCCCCGAAAATACCCATCACTTTGCAACATGAGTGATGTTGACATTCATTTTAACAAACATCATTTATGAAAAAACACGCCTATCCTTCTTATGTTCAGTGTGAAGGGGGGCGAGAGCGGCCGAGATGAGCCGGACGTGCAAGAACTGCGGCAGTTCCGACGTGGACGTGGACCATGCGCGCGGAGATGCCGTCTGCATGGTCTGCGGGTCGGTGCTGGAGGACAACATCATCGTCTCCGAGGTGGAGTTTGTCGAGTCGGGAGGAGGAGGCTCGCTCGCCGTCGGGCAGTTTGTCTCCTCGGAAGGTCAGACTACCCCTGCCCAAAAAAAAAAACAAAAAAACAATGTTCTAGAAAATGAGCAGAAGTTGTTGAGGGCACAAAAACACAAAAGAATTGCTCGATCAACACTTGAGACCTTACTGACTGGACCAAAATGTTTTTGACGGTCAAACAGTGGCGACTGATTGAACAAAAGCACTTGACATGCTCTCGATTGAAGACATGAAGCCGCCGTAAACAGCCCGGCGGCCATCTTACGTTGCCACTTGCTCAGCGATCTGTCACTTGTCAAGCGTGTGTGGCCTCTTGAACTTTGACCCGCGGCCGCGTGACTTCCAGCTTGTATGTTGTTGTAGTTCACCGAATGCCCACAAGAGGGTGCTATTGTCTCAGACTCATGCGGGACCTCACCTGTGGGTTGTTGAGCTCTTCGGTCGTGACGTCACATCTGTGCGCTTGAAACGTGACCTTTTGTCATCCAGCTGGGTGCATGTATTTGTGTGTGTGTGTGTGTGTGTGTGTGTGTGTGTGTGTGCTTGTGCGTGTGTGTGTGTGTGTGTGTGTGTGTGTGTGTGTGTGTGTGTGTGTGTGTGTGTGTGTGGTGTGTGTGTATGGGGATGAAATGTTTGAAGGCGTTTTGCGTCTGCAGGCGGTGCCAAGCTTCCGTCGTTTGGAGACGGTCATCTGGCCCACGCGGGAAGCGAATCACGAGCGCAGACGCTGCACAGAGGTACAAGTCAACACGTTTTCTCATTAGGCCTTTTTCCACTCGGGCGGAATATTGGGTATCGATCAAAGTAGGAGGACAGTAGGACCTTGACTTCTCAGTGGCCCAACTTCTGCACATTTGAAGTGACGTGAGCCATCGCTTGGGCAATTTACGGATTTGTATTTGTTGCCAGAGAAATGTCGCTCGTCTGTGGCCCCGAAGTGCAAAACACAGCAACAACACAATTAAACACAACAGTGAATATGAATTGGTCAGACCTGAATAAATGTCTAATAACGTCGAAGATGAAGTCATCAGGTTAGTTCTTATCCATGTGTTGATGTGAGCCTTAAAAGGGCGTGGCCTATTGAATGACATCAACAAGCGCAATCGGGTTCTCCCACGCCTTGAGTCTATTCGGCGTGTAATTTTGCGCTTACTATTACGGCGCTATAATTGTTGAAGCTCGCTTGTTCCTCACATTTTGGCGAGTCGAATTACGAGCTCGTTCTCGCAACGACGTAGACTCCTAATTCAAGCGCCAATGGGTTTGTGTTCGTAGCCAAGCAGCACATCGGCGTCCTGGGCCACCAGCTTCAGTTGAACCAACATTGCCTGGACACGGCCTTCAACTTCTACAAGATGGCGCTGGCCAAGCACTTGACGTGCGGCCGCAAGGCGGCTCACCTCATGGCCGCCTGCATCTACCTGGTGTGTCGCACCGAGGGCACGCCGCGTATCCTTTTGCCGGCGCCGGCACAAAAACAGTCTCTATCCCGAACGGCGTCCGGTCCGAAGCTCAGAGACGCAAGGTGGTGCCAGGCCATTTCGAGATTTGAAAACAAATAATGGGATCTGAAAAACAGAACTCTAAAACGAGCCAATGAAGGTAATGCCAGAGTAGGCGTGATGCGCTCCCTCTTACCAGTACCGGTCAAGAGGCGAGCGGCAGCATTTTGGACCAACTGGAGATGCTTCATGGAGGATCAACCGACTCCAAAGTGAAATGCGTGACAGTCCTCCTGATAGTTTGAGATCAGAAGTGTTCTCCAAGGTGTTCACTTGCTAAACATTTGAGGCGTTGTCGTGGGCTAACGGTCTCAAAGATTCTAAAATCCAAACCCGTGATGTCCTCCAAGTGAAATGCGTGATGAGCAGTTTGAGGTGTTGTCCGATACAACCACTTGAGATATGACGGCTTGGTATTTTCCGGAAGGAATTCTGGTTGACTTCAGATGCCTCGAAGTCAAAAACAAGAAAATATTTGCTCTCGAAGTCTTACCCCCTTTTATAACTATGGATGAAAATGTGATTTTTTTTTTTGTGTGTGTTTGTATGCTTTGCATATTCTCAGTTGCCGACTTAACGGTTGCGGTGCAGACATGTTGTTGGACCTCAGCGACATCGTTCAGGTATGACAAGCGCTCTGGTCACGCCTTGATGTCTACCACGTGGCGAAACATGAATCGGCCTGTGTGGATTTTTTTCGGGAGGCCCGGCTGCCGCTGGGAGTGGAAGCGTGGTCTTTTGACCCCAGCGGCTGTCCCGCTGAAGCCCCTCCCGCCCACTTGCGGCACGCGCGCGTGTGTCATCCCAGACCATGACTCGATCAATGGCGCGATAACGTCACGGCGGGAATCGAGCGCCGAACCCGCATTCTTCGCAGCTTACTGCTTTCTTAATCAAGTTGAAACTCGAACACCCCCCGTGGCACCCCCCTCCCCACGTCCCGTGCGCCACCCGCTACGACGTCGCGACCGCGTTACTTCCTGTGTTTTTCTTTGCCAATTTGTGATTTGTTGTGCGACTCCCTCGGCGAGCGCGTGAACTCGAGTCTTGCGTCCCACTGTGGTTCTGTAATACGAGAAAGAAATGTGGAGTAAAGGCGTGTCGCTGGCTCACATGTAAATTTCTGACTGGAATTCTCTTCCCAAAATAGCGCGGGCGTGCGGAATCCTGAAGTGGGGGTCGGGGGTTTCGAGAAATCCGGGGCACGTTGGGGACCCTTGCTGCCTTCAGTCCGCACGTCGTCGTGGTGGGCGCTGGCCAAGGGAGTCGAAATCTCATTTAAAAAAAAAAAAAAAAAAAAAACTGAGATTATCTGCACGTGAACACTCGGAGGCGACGCTGCGCTGAAATGACGAAGAATGAATCAAAATGGAGGAAAAGGTGTGACGGAAAATTGGCCATTCCTCAAGTGAATTGAGAAACGGCTTTCCCAGCACATGATGTGTCCCAACTTGAACCCCCCCCCGTCTGTGTGCTGGCATCTTTGCTTTAGAGCGCCTCGTCGTCACGGTGTGGAAACGCCCTGACCCAACTCGGCGGGACGTGTTTGGCGTTTGCGATCTTGAACAGTTTCAAGTTGCAGCGTTTGATTTGGCCGATCCTTTTTGGCGTCATCGCAGCGTTTTATTTGACACGTTCACGTTTGTGGAACGCAGGAATAAGAGTGACGATATGGGGATCTCAAGCAGAACGGGGAACACGTTAGTGCCCTCATTTTCAAAGTCGAGATACTCCGCCACGACTTGTTTGAGTGACGCACACAAGCTATCTTGTGTTCAATTTTCTTTGACCGCGATCTGTCGCGGCATCGGCGATCTTCGCCTCCGTTTGATTTGCCATCACTTCGTAGCGCCATCAAACTCTGTCGTAAGGCCAATCGTTGGAATAAAGTCACCCGGTTTGACGGCATCACGGTGACGCAACAGCGGATATTGCTTAGCATGTTAGCATGTGCTCCTTTTCTGGTCACGAAAGGAAGATCGTTTGTTCCAACCGCCGCATTTTGTGCTCGCCCGCCTTCCTGTTTACATTCTTGCGTCTACCAAGTGACCAAAGCGATCTTTTGGGTTTTTTTTTTTTTGCCCTCGGTGTGCCGCAGATCAAGTGTTAAAGGCTTTGTTTGGATGCGGGAAGTCATGTGATGATGTCCTCATTGTCGTCGTCCCTCCAGGTGAACGTGTACACTTTGGGGAAAACCTTCCTGGCGCTCTCCAGAGATCTTTGCATCAAGCCACCCGCAATAGGTACCGACCCTCATTTTCACACCCTCTCCATATCCATCCGCGTGCAGAGAATTGCGTTTGTTTCCAAATTTCATTTGGCCGTTTTCTTCATGAGAAACGCGAGCGAGCGTCTTAATTAGGAACGGGCGAGAACACTCATGGGACATGCCGATCCGTGACAAAAATTTATTGTCCTCCACGCCAGTAGTGGGCGCTGTAATCCGGATGGCAGTTTGACGCATTGGCAAATGATGGTCCGCATCGGAATAGGTGGAGAACACACACACACACGCAACGCAGAAAGCATAAGCCGAGCCACCTGTGAGAACTTTTATGTCATCGTCCTGGTACAGAAAAGCTTCTTCAGACAGCCTCGAGCTGCTTGAACAAGAAACCGTTCAGCGAGAAGAAAAAGCCAAACTTTCGTGAGGGCGCGCAAGTGCAAAATGGCGAGAAGCCGACGCACCCGTGGGGCTTTTGGGCCGCGTCGGTCATGCTCGGAAGGGAAAAGTTTGACATCCGCGCCACCGGGAGGACGAGTTAACCCTCGAGGCCCCAAAAGTGCAATTGGGCCCCAATTGACGGAATGGCTTCGCCTCAAACCGCTTCCAAGCGAGCGTAGCGGCTTTTGGCTCTTTTCGTGAAAACGCTTTGGTGCCTTGAGGGTGATGTTTTTCCGTCCGGTTTGCAAAACGAGGAATTTGAAATGGGTGAGGAAAGGTGGAGGTTTTGGTCGAAGGACCAATCCTGACATCTGCCAAAAGTGGAACGCAGGCAACTGGACCCTTCCTGGCAGCCAAGAGCGCAGCCGCCTCCGGACTGGGCCTCCTTTCGCCGTTGGCGCGGGACCGCGACTCTGGCCGGTTTCGGCAACCCGAGCAGTGAGAGCCGGCTGCCTGAATTCCACCGGCCGTGTTTGCAGAAAAACAGAAAGTCGCCCGGATGCGTCGCCGACGGCCGCCGGGGTTTAAATAAGAAGTGAGCTGAAATCTGAAATTAAATAAAGTCCCGGCCGGGAGAGTCCGGGCGCCACGGCAGGGGACGGGAAGCCCCGGTCGGCGTCCGTCCGCCGTTCAGGCGTAGAAGACCAGCTCGGGGATCTGCCCCCCCTGCACGCCGGTGCCGTTGGTGCTGTCCGAGGAGCACTGGAACTGGAAGGTGACCCTGCCGCACTGCACCTCCGTCATGCCCTCCTGGCCAAAGTAGCTGAGCTCGTTGCCGTCCAGCACCACGCTGACCGTGTAGAAGGCGTCGGGCTCGATCTGCACCGGGTGCTCGAACCAGACGGGGAAGGTTCCGCTGGAGCCGTCCGAGACGAAGCTGGTGAGGCGCTGGGCCAGCGCGGCGCCCTGCCGCTTGAGTTCGATGCGAACGCCGTACTCGGCCTTGCCGCCGCTGGACCCGTACAGGCCCAGCCCGGCCACGAAGATCCGCCGGTCGGCGGCGAACTGGATGCTGTCGCAGCGCCCCCGGTAGCGCCACTGGTTGCTCCGGTAGGCCGAGGACTGGAAGCGGTGGCAGCGCTGCGGCGCCAGACCCGCCCGGGCGCCGGTAGGGAAGTCCAGCCGGGGCTTGTTGGCGGCCGTGTACCACAAGAACATGTTGCGCGTCTCCTCCAGCGTCAGGAGGTCGGACTGCGCCGCCCCGTCGGCGAACTCCTCCAGGCTCATGGCGGGCACGCGCACCAGGAAGAGCGCCCGGCCCAGCACCTGCCGGCGGTTGCGGGCGACAGGCGG